AATAATTTTGAAAGTCAATCAGTTGTGGCTTAATATAATTTTTACTATATAAAACAATCAAGATTAGTAAATATAAAAGAAATACATACCATAACACCAATTTAAGTGTAACAAAATAGCACTGAAAATAATGGTCTTCATTTTTCACAAATTCACTTAATTGTATTGAATTATAATACCTGGACACAACTCTATTTGCCGAGAGTTCTTCTGACAATGTTAGTTTACGATGTCCTCACTCTAATAAATGTACATCTTGATCGCTTATCTAAGATTATTTTTCACGGTAATGTGTGATTAATGTGCTGGTGATAAGGACTAGTATGCTATGGAATGCCACTAATTAAGTTGTAATTTGCTTGATTTGGTTTTTTCATTTCATCGATTGAAATGCGGTCAATTTAGGTTTGCGATAGTTTTTCTCCCAATTTGTGTATAAAGCTACATCGGATTCATGATATTTATCTCCTGTTTCTTCTTTCTTGATTTTTTTTCTTATTTACACTTATACTCTTTTTGAACGAACCCTGAGCCATTATGAACCCCTTCCAAAGGCATGACGCGCTGTCCCTGTTTAAGAAAATTTTATCACACTTACTTTACCGTAGATTCAGAATGATGAAGTGCAGAAGGAATATGGAAATACTGATGGAGGATAATTTGTGTGTGTGTGTGTGTTTGTAATGCCATGGTTTATCTTTCTTTTATCTAATTTCATACAAATGCCATAGGGAATAAAATAAAATTCCGAGGTCCCATACTCAGAAAATAATAAATAAGTAAATATATATTAGCCTAGAAATTTTGGGCTTGATTCGTTTACGGATTCTTAATAGTTGAAATTATAAAGCTAGTAGGTACTTTTTCCAATACATTTAATCTAACTTAATTTTGGGTAATATGTTCTGAGTTTCCTTATCTGTTGTGTATATATGTTGATATTGTTGATAGATCTTGCTGCTACGAGGAAAATCTCATTACTATTACAAGAAATTAAATTCTGCATCCGATAAAATAAATGCATAAACATAATTCACGTATGAAGTACTTTAATCTGTCTTTATCTAAATCATATCTAAAGCTAGGGACAACATTCTTCTAAGATGTATCTTAAAGCAAATAGGACTTCTGTGTAAATGTATGAAGAAGCTATAAGTTATAATTTGTATTACGTAATTGATAATCATAGACACGTCGGCCGTGTTATTGAGATTGTATCAGTTGTTATTACAATTACTCAAAGATCAATGTTAAAGGTTTCTATTATTTACAACATATGAAAACTATGTGTTGGTCTTGTGGTTAAGTTTTAACCTCGGTGATATTTTTTACATAAAATGAAATATGTAAATGCTTTAAATTAATTATTAATTGAAAACTAAAATAAATTTAAAAAGTTTGTGCCCCGTAGCAGTGTGAAAGCACCAGATCAACTTAGCCTGGCGTCAACTTAACTCTTTAATCTGCCCCTTGCACTTGAACTGTCTCGACTCAAGAGTATTTACTCCAATCTCCTTGCTCATATTATGTCATTATTAATATCTTCAATGGCATTTTCGTACGCTTTCACCGCATCTTCAGGGCTCGTAAAGCGAATACCTCTAATTTTATCTTTAGTTCTTGGGAATAAATGAAAGTCGCAGGACGCCAAGTCAGGACTGCATGGTGGATGACTCGATATCTCGACTCCTGCCATAGTCAAATATTCAACAGTCCGTTTTGCGGAGTGCGATGAAGCATTGTCGTGGTGAAGGAGGATCCTGCTTCGAGGGCGCTGCTGTCGAATTTTTACAAGACAACAGGCAAACAGCGATTGACAAACCAGTCTGCAGTAACTTAACATCAGGGCGACGTCACTTAACATCAGGGGAGCCTTCTGAGCTTTCGAACCCGTTATTAGAAATCATCAACTTATTTCATCACAGAGTTAATACCATAAGACAGTAAGAGACAAAACAGTACTTAAGGAGTACAATAAGACTGATTTAGTTTATATGAATACAAGGGTTAAAAAAAGGTAATAATAAAAAGAAGTCAGATTTAAAAAATCATTAAGGCATTTTATTTATACATATAGGGAACACAATACCTAATGAACGTCAGGAAAAAGGAGTCTGACAGCTAAAGCAGTTCATCCTTAAGGACCTATCTGGTCGCCAAACTCCAAAAAAGTACATTGTTTCTTTCCATTTTCAGCATCGTTTCTAGAAGTAGGGCGAGTGGAAAAATATATAGTGGAGTGGAGTAGTTTATGTATCCATTTTGAAAAATCGATACACGATTTAAATAACTTCTCTCGATGGAAAAAATTCCAAACAGCTAATTTTTGACACTTTGAATTCATTTTATGACCAAAATGTATATATAACATGATTTTGAAATTTACACGATATATTTTATCGCAAGGCAAATAATCCTTAAAAAAATTGTTAAAATTACATAAATTTAATGTTTCACATAACTAATTGTTATTACGGGCCTCAGTGCTCCAGCTCTCCACTGCGCCCCTCGCAGTCCACCCCGAGACACTGACACAGCAATTCGGGCTGGGATAGGGCCTTAAAGTATAAGCTGTCTTAAAAAGGTGATAGTCATGTAACTACTCTAATTCAACAAAAAATTGGTTTTCCTGAACATTTTGAGTCAGAGCCTAATTATACACAATTAACGTCATCGTGAGCCACGATCTTAGATGTATCACGATACTTAAGTAACGATGCGGTTAATCGACTTTTCCATAACTACCTTTAATATAGTTTGATAACAATATATATCAATTAAGATAAAGAATCACGTGTATTGCTTAGAGCGTCGCTAATGGGTACATAAAGGGACAACTGGAGATGTTTTTATTTTATTAATGTTATAAAAATGGTCAAAAGTCACTCAATGGACACCTCGCTACAACACTAAGCGGTGGAGAGAAAGACCATGTGCGTGGTGGGCTGATGACTATAAAAAAGCCACCGGGCCTCTGTGGTAAAGACTTGTCAGGGATAGGAAGCGCTGGAAACAACTGGAGGAGGCCATGTGCCACAAAGGCAAGCTGTTCAAGAGGACAGCTCTGCAACAAAACCTTCTTAAAGAACTTATTTTATATACATATATATTTTTGTAAACTTTCTCTTGTTTTAGTTGAAACAAAATTGAAATTGATAATGTTATAAAATTACAAAATAGTCAATATTGCGATTTTTTAACTGCAAAGGGACCACATTACACACGAAACAAAACTAAAATATATAATATAACTTTATTTAATTTAACTTTTAATAATTTAGTTGACCAAAGTTATTAACTGTCATGTCATCATGCTCTGTCTGTAACTACAATTATTTTCTAATCTTCCATAATACGTGGTGTTGGAGAAATGCTTCGCCTACCATGATCACCAAGTCACGATTCTCACGGATCTCCCCATAACAGCTGCGCCGAGGGACACTATCCGAACAATGCGGAGATCACTAGCAGGCTTTACAGTGACGTTACCTTCAGCAATAAAAAAAATACGGCTGAGAAAAGATAAACTGTATCGTATGTTGTAATAGCGATAATGTGTTATTAAATAGCACTCACTCGTCGAGCTGTTCCACCTTTATTCAATGAACGCAATTATAAACTTGTTTGTGACAATTGAGTCCCATATAAATAAGGAAATAATAATTCTTAATGACAGACATGGATTATTATCATTAACTGTTGCACTTTTCATCTTGAGGGGGGAAAGGGCCGGGGGGGGGGGGGGGTAAATGGGGGGGTTTCCCCCCCCCCCCCCGGCCCAGGGCTTTTTTTTCCCCCCCTTTTTTTTTTTTTGGGCCCCCCCGGGGGGGGGGGGGGGGGGGGGGGGCCCCCCCCCCCCCCCCCCCTTTTTTTTTTTTTTTTTTTTTCCCCCCCCCCCCCCCCCCCCCCCCCCCCCCCCCCCCCCCCTTTTTTTTTTTTTTTTCGGGGTGGGGGGTGGTTGGTTTTTGTTTCCCCTTTTTTTTTTTTTTTTTTTTTTTTTTTTTTTTTTTTTTTTTTTTTTTTGGGGGGGGGGGGGGGCCCCCCCCCCCTTTAGACTTCTTAGGTGTATGATATTATTGTTGTCTGTGGTGTCCACTATTACTAATAATGTATGTGCAATGCTCACTGAATAAATTCAAAACTCTCGTTAAACGTAAATTAGTCAATAAAGCTTTTTGTAAATTTGACGATTATTTAAATGATCCTAATCCTTGGAATTGATTTGCTTCACTTAAAATATTTATGGCTGCTCTGCCTTACAAACAATTTGTATGATTTAAAACTTGGCGATTAAAAAGAGTGACGGAGAGTTTTTTGCCAGTTCTTCTTGCCCGCGCTACGCCCTATACTTGTGAACTGGTAGTAAATGTACATTTAGAATCAATTTAACTTTTCTGTTGACGTTCATAAGTGTACTTGGCTATATGAATAAAGTTATTTTGAGTTTGCTATATTTTAAAATTGTTTATTTATATTGCAAAAAATAGGAAAGTCCATTAAGCTCATCTAATAACTCGCTTCTCCTACATTTAATAGTATACGATAACTATGGTATGAACCATGATAGCCATTTTAAATTTAGATAAATATTAGATTCGGTGGACTTCATTCATTTATGGGTTCTTCTGTGTTTTATTATCGCCAGAAGTGGAGACTTTCGGATGTAATATAAAATATAGAAGTCATAGAAGGCAGAATCAAGAAGATCGGTTAGCAAAAATAACACATTTTAAAAATATCAATACATTTATTCCTTAAACATTTCGGTTATAATATGCTTTTTTATACTTTCTATAAGAAACGTAAATAAACGGAAACTGAGATAATTTCAAATGTAATATGTAAAGCAAGCCTACCTGTATTTCTCAAATCATAGACCAATTAAATCTACTTTCTATAAATGTGCGGTACGTAATCTTACATAATATTTGGTGACAGTATTTAAATAACTAATCTAATCATATTATCGCCTACGAAAAAAATATAGCAATTTGAAACTCTCAGTTTTGCGGAATATTTTCAACAGGCGTTACGATATTTTTCGGAGTGAAACTGTATGAGCTAACTACTCCGTCCTTGTTGATGAGTCCGTAGCCTCCACTTTCAGTTGAAACTTGACCGTTGTTGTTGGAGTATGAAGAGAAGCTTGACTCAGCCTGGCCGAAGACGTGAGCTCCAGGGCCTGGTTGTAGACTAGCCACGTCTGTGTTCAGATTTGGCTGGCCCTGAAGATATTTATTTATTAAATTTTTATATGGGCTTTTTAAGTGAACTCTTGTTATGAACGTATTTTACAAATATGTGTTTTTCTAATTAGGATGTTTTCCTAATGATGTCAAAAACAAATATCTGCTAGTACTAAGCACATCAATAAAAATAATGAAGTAGGACTGTCATATATTTACGGCAGAACGGACCAATTCGGCTTTTAATTTATAGCTTTAGTTTAAGATTCAAGATTTATAAATAATAATAATATACTTACCGGGAAATTATCGAATGCGAAGTTGGGGTTGACACTGTAAAAAAAGTTTTTTAATAGATATATAGTGCCATAAAATAAAACTAATTATATAAAGAAACGTTAAAAACGTATTGAATTAAACATCTCTCGGTATTGGAACCAAGAATATTCACAGCTTTTATTTTAGAAGTCAGTGATCAGATCAAATATTTCGGCAAAAAATATGTAACATACAATTTACGTAGAGTTTTGAAGTCACCAGCCGAGGCAGCTTTTATAAAATCTTCCACTGAGAGTGTGTTGCCTGTTGAAAAAAAATATAAATTAATATTTAACATTATTTCAAAACCCTTGTGGTCATCACTATTATTATCTTCGTAATCGTTGTTAGTAAAAAGATGTAATGTAGTAATTATTTAGATCACATCTTTTTTTCGATTAAATAATATAAATAAACTTTAGGTATAAAAATCCCGCTGATGGGTTTAACCTAGGTGCCTACAAAACTAAAGACATAACATGTTGCTGAAGGGTTGATTTGGCATCTAATAATCCTTGAAATAGTTAAACTTAGGCAGAATTAACGCAGATGAACCGCAGGACACATCTAGTTCATATATCCTACTGCAGTACGGCGATTATGCAATTTTAATCAAACGATTTTTGGTTCAAACTTCCTAACCCACCTAGATAGCGACAGTGACATTGTGCAAAGGATGCTTTAAATATGAAAAATCGCTTTTCCGTCGCGAAAACGGTAATGTAACTTTAGGAGTTAGTGTTTTGTTTATGTTAGATAAAATCTACGTCCTTCAAAGTTGATTTAAAAGACCGTCACGTAGAACGTGTGGCATTGAAGCTGTCCATGAACCAAGGACAAGGAATGAGTGAACCAGGGATATACCACTAAGTGAGACCACCCATAGACACTCACAATTTCAGAAGACTCGAGATTGGCGGATTTTTAAAGAGTTGGTACCCTCTTTACTTGACTCTATGTCTAATTAGTTCGGAAATACCTCGACGGTGACATGTCAGCTGGTACCAGATAGAAGTGATGCGCGGCAAAGTGTCTTATGAAACTCAGTTGTGGGATGACACCATCGAGGTGAAATTATATAGTAAAACTAGCTGACCTGGCAAACTTCGTGTTGCCATGTATATTATTTCTAGGAAACATTTTTTAGTTCAATAAAAATAACTATCTACTATAATAAAAATAGGGGTTGATCGTAGAGGCGTGAAAATTAAGGGTTATATGTATGTTGTAAGCTGTGTCATAAAAATATAAAAACAAAAAATGTTATCTAAAAAAATAAAAATTGGACCACCCTTTTCACTTAGGGGTTTGAAAGATACATAGTAGCCGATTCTCAGACATACTGAATATGCATAAAAGATTTTATAAGAATCAGTCGAGCCGTTTCGGAGGAGTTTGGCAACGAACATTGTGACACGAGAATTTTAAATATTAGATAATTATAATATCCTTCCCTATATACGTTATTGCATACGCAGTGCGAAGTGTTTCCGAATTTTGGTGTACAAAGAGGCAACTCCTCTTTGTACACCTTTGGGAATAAAAAGACTGGCGGAGAGCTTCTTGCGAGTTCTCGCCCGCTATGTATTTGGGAAATGTAAATTTAGATCTAACTTGATTTTTCTTTAGTAGCGAGAGATTTCCAGCAATTTTACTCAGTAAGAGACAATCACTCGTCTATTATTAATCTATCGTATATTATTATTATTATAATAAATTTTCTCTGTACGGCTAACTTAAGTCTAATAAGTAATTTAAGTCTAACTTATTTACTAACCTACCTTTACCTATTTTTTTTTATAAACAGGGATAAATGATGTAGGATCATAGCCTATTAGGCAGTCAGGCAGAGGTGTGACCGAAAAGCTAGGCAGCAATAGAGTGAACTGAAATGACTTTATTAACTTAAAGTTTTGGAGCTAATTTATTAAAGAATATTTAACATAAGAAAGTGTCCAATAACACTATTTACAGTCTTTATTAGTGAAGACTGTTGTTGTGTACTATTATTTTTCTCTTACCACTGTTTAGCACTTAAGACATGCCTTATATCCCTTAAAGGTATTTAAATCTTATATTAGAAGAAGCATATCCTTATATTATAAATTGTAGAATAAAATGTGTTTACAAAAGATCTTTTAGATCCGCTACGATTATTTTTCTTTATGACCAACACACACGAAATTGCAAGTTTACTTAATGTGATAATTAAAGACACAAACATTATCATGGTTATTTTTAAATGTTTATTATATATTCAAAGATTCTAAAGTAAAATTTCTTTTTTAAATCCGGGAAGTAAGAAAAAATGTGAATGCTCTATAGTCTGTAACACTTTATGCACGTAAAAAGGCCTAGTGGCATAACTTGCGAATGCGTTGTGTGCCTATCAAAATTAGGTTCTTTGTTGAAAGACCCTTATTCGTTTTTAAGGGAAAATCGGACATAATATGTTATTGTAAAAACTGCACATAGTAACGTTACCTATCGCGTGGGCGTAGCTGGCCTTTAATACGATTTTTTTGGAAATAGAAAGTACATATGATAACTTATTTATAGAAATAATATAAAGAGAATACAGAAATTATTTAACTGGAAATTATGTAATATTATTATTTACGCTTTATTCGAAATCGATGTTAATAGTTGTTTAAAATAAAAATATATGAAAATATGCTAGTGCGCATTTTCTAAGCATGGCTTTATGTTGATATTTTCCGGTCCAATTTGTTATTGTTTTGATAAATATGTTTGAATAAAATATGTTTTAAAAATTCCTATTACTTATTTAACCTATTACTTAATTTTGCTATTTTTATACCTTGATTTATTTACTCTTCTATTATTATTATTATTATTTTATCCATTATACATTTGCAAAAATATACCTACTTGTGTAAAGACAAACCTTCACACTTCTATGTTGTAAATTACTATATATCAATACGAGATATTAAAATTTGACAATTTTTGAGGTCAAGCGCCAGTTGACCATGACATATGACGGTCATATGTTTTATTTAAACTATCAAACAATTGACAACATACCAAACACGTTTTAACATAGAAAAAAAAACTCGAAATATTAACTATTATATAGAATTTGTTCTCATTTCAAAAAGTTCGATTATTATGAATTAGTAATTTAACCGTAGTACGTATTAATTCAACAACAATTTAATTTACGCATTTATCTATATATTATCCTGAATATCAACCGTATTTTTTATTATTATCAATATTACTGATAGGAATATTAGTTAAAAAATTACCTGTAACAAGCGCACACATCGCAGCGAATAACACAAAATTTTTAATCATTTTAAATTTACGTCGTCGAACCGGTCACAGCGAAGTTTAGATTTACTATGTTAAAAGCCTTCGTTGACTACTAGATTTATATGTGAAAATTGCGAGTGCCATTTTAAAATATCCTTTTGTTGAAACAAGGTAGATCAATTATTTAGGAATCCATTGTTTTCTCTTGACATGTTGAAAATTGGAACGATTCGTCACATCAAATTTACAGACGTTGTTTATGCTGAAAGTAAATTATTCTTTTAAGTACACGGAAATTGCCTTCGTAAGTCAGTCTTTGTAAGTAAGTATAGAAGCCCGGCTTTGCATAAGTCGATAGAATATTTTAATAAGCCAATATTGTTAATTAGTTTCGTTTCAACTTAAGATTCGATTGCGCCGTAAGATGCACATTTTACAACTTCTCTAAAATGTTCTTTTTAATCATAAAACTCCTAGTTACTTAAAGCAAAATTTTATGTTCCTCTCTGGCAGTAGTTTTCACTTGCGTTCCTAAGACAATCTAATTCTTGAAACTCCTACTTATAAAACTAATTTCTATCACTTCTCCTATACTGTGCAAAGTATCCTGCTATGGAATTTCTTACCAATTTATATTAGACGAGCTCAGTCTTTAAATTTATTTAAAAAGCTTCTTTTTGATAATTTTTTCCTGCCTCGTAATTAGCTACTAGTCTACTACATATATATATGTAATGGAATGATATTTCATTAATTTGAATTTGACGCGTCGGAGTGACACGCGATAAAATGGCGGATGACGTGTAAATTAATTTAGTGGATTATAGTGTAAAAAGATAGATTAAAGGATAAGTGGACATTAAATGTCGTTTCTTTGTATTTCAGGTAAGAATAATTATTATAGTTAGATCATAAGTGCATTATATTATAAAATGTGATAAATAAAATAAAAACTTTGTATTTCAGAGAAACAATTTTGTGTTTTCATTTAGAAAAAATCCTTAATAACATTCCTTATATATATATTAACTATTGTGACTCAGTTAGCCTATTTATTGGCATTTAAATTTTTGTTTATACATATTTTTTCTTTAGATTTTATATTTTAGTTATGGTTGCGTGTTATTTTGGTGTTTTTTTTTGTAAATTCTTTATGCACTTCTTGTAATTAACCCTCTGTAGTTGTTTCTTTTCTATTGTTCCTTATTAGGGTTGCCTGGAAGAAGCTCGCTTGTTAGAGATAAGGCCGCCCGTTGCCTTATAACTTATGTAACCTGCTTTTTAATGTTATTTTTTTATATGTATGTTTTTGTATAAGGTAATAAAGTGTAAATAAATAAATAAATAAAATTATTCATAACATGAATAACTTAACTGGACAAATATTTTGTTCGATTGGTTTTAGCAAACAATTCTAAAATATTCACGAACCTAGCAAAGTTATTTTGTTATCGAATATTTATCATGAAATTTGGATATTATATTGAATTTATTACTCAATTTTACACCAGAGCTAAAATGCATGTCAACTAACGATAAAAACAATTGAAACACCATCAAAATTTGTTTTAAATTGTCATATGCCGTTGTAACGAAAATTGTTTATCACAGAAATACTTATATTAAGTAATATTCATACACTGAAAAAAAGATATGTCGCTTAGGCATGTCTGTAGCTGTACGCGAGTATTAATTATAATAATTTATTGCAAGAATATGGTACAGTGTAGTAGTTAATTAAAGAGACGACATAAAGAGACATAATCGTAGGCACAGCGATTTGCCACAAAATGTTTTTTTTTTTTTTTTTTTGTTGGTTGGTTTTTGGGGGGGGCCCCCCCCGGGGGGTTGTTTTTGCCCCCCTTTGGGGGGGGGGGGGGGGGGGGGCCCCCCCCCCCCCCCCCCTGGGTGTGTTTTTTTTTTTTTTCCCCCCCCCCCTTTCTAAAATGTGTATAGTTGTACAATCGTAAGTTCGCATATTCTGCCACACACAATGGCGCGCTAATTTTTCTTTAAAGGAATTTTACATTTTACATATTAGTCATATGAATTGGTCAATTCTTATATTATTTTTATCGTACATATCATATCACGTTATTAAATTTATATCAATTACAGTGTCTCACGCAAATAATAATTTATTGAATAATACATTTTTTCCAGAGGTAATAGACCAAGTCGCTTTTTAAAAACTCTAGTCGGAAGATCTTTTGGTAAATTATTGTAAACCTTGATTGCCATACAAAAGCTGTTTTTCCTAGAAAGTTCCAGATTGATTTTTGGCACGGCCAATTTCTCCCCATGAAATCGACAGATGTTCATTCCCGTTAGCTTAAATATTTACTCTTTCATTCGTATTGTGTGATAGTAATAATAATCCTTTTTCTGCGGACACTGATTACGTCAATATACTCGTAGTATTAGAATTAATACGAGTTAAATAGTATTATTATTGTTTTGTATTTCGGGTAACAATTCACATTCACATGTACCCGCCTTTTACAAGGGCGGATTAATAGATCCATGGGGTCAATATGAAGAAGTAAAAAGGTTGTATGTTTTTAGATTAAGAGGATACTTTGCGTACACAATATACATAGGTATTTGCTTCGAATCGTCGGTAACGCTTAAGACTGCTTGTCTCTGTGCGTGATTAAAATGTGAATGTATGCATACTAGTATTATCCATCGGCCCTACTTATTTCACACATTGGTTCCCACAAATTTTTAAGGGACGGATTTTGAAGTATGTACTCTATTCGATTTAATCAAGCAAGTTATTTTTAATGGACGTTTAGTATTCTATATATTACACTTGTGCCATCGGGGCTACGACGCAAATTTTTGAACATTTGTCAAAACATATTTGTCTTTCCTCGATATTATTAAATAAAATAAAATAAAATAAAATATGTTTATTATGGAAATAAGATAATGTATCACTTATTCCACTCATTAAATTTGAAGGCATCCCTACTCATCGCAAAGAAGACAGAGGGTGTAGGCCGAGAAAAACCGGCTAAAAACTCTCGGTACTCTTTTAAAACACAAATCATCAAACAACACTTATTTAAAACAAATATCCAAATTGATTAGAAGTAGCCTGTCTAGCACTAGTCCCAGGCCCTTTTATCAACTAGATAATCGTTGACTTTATAGTAAGCCTTTTTACACAGCTTTTCTTTAATACATAATAAAAGAGCCTCTGGGATTTTATTAAAGAAGAGTATCCCTTTCCCCAAAAAATTACTAACTTTAGATAGTCTAGTACGGGGAAATTGCAGCCTGCGTTTGTTCCGTGTATTAACATTGTGCGTATGTTCTATTCTAGTAAACTTATCACTATTTTTATATAATATATTTTCATAAATATATTGCGAGGGAAAGGTAAGTATATTAATTTCTTAATTTATTCTAAGAGATTCCTACATTTAAATTATGATTCAATACCCTCTTCTCAGGATGAAATGTTTCGACATCAACTGACCCCATAATAATAAGCCATAAGTCATTAAGTATGAAAGTAACTAAAATAAACAAGTCTAGCTGTATCGACTCATTAGTGAGCGAATTTTTTTAACGCGTAGGCGCAGAATAAGTCTCTTCGCAATTTAATGAGGGGACCACTAAGTTGAATCCATGTATTCCGAGAAATAAGTATATCAGATTCAATTTCACGTTTATAATTGGTCTAGTATCCATAACCTTCATTTTTGACAAAATTTATGCATTTTGTCTTTTTGCATTAAGTAGAAGGTTATTCATACTAAACAATGGATCGAAGAGAGTTTTCAATCGTCAAAATTGTTATTTGTCGTTGATTTTAAAAATCAAGATTCTCAAAAAATATCATTTTTCTCTCTACATAAAGGAGATCATTTATATAAAAAAAAGAGGAAAGGGCCAAGAATGAGCTGTTACCCCATATCTACTGCGAAGAGGACCTCTTACCATTCACTCAATTTGAGTTCTTCCGTGTAAATAGAAGTCAGAAGATTCAGTGCGGTATTCTTGATGCCATAGTGGCAGTTTCATTAAGGTCTCGTTTGAACAATAAATGCTTTGGATAAGTCGCAGAAAACACCTAAAGCGTCATCACTCCTCCAACTTAACTATATATCTTATAACTCAACACCGGCATCGGCTGTCGAGCGACCTTGGTAAAACCGAACTGATATTATGTAATAATTTGTTTACTTAAAATGACTTACCAGTTGATTTAATATAATTTTTTAAATTTTTACTACAAGTAGGTAGTACGGAAATTGGTCTAAAGTTACTGGGGTCGGACATACTACCTGCTTTAAATAAAGGAATAACTATTGTTTCATTAGATCGGAACTTAACATGTTGAAAATTATACTAGGGGGAGCAATTAATCAATATGTACTAATTATTTTTACAAAATACCCCAAACGGTAGTGTTCTTAATTCTTGGTTCTAAATATTATTAAGAATTAGTTACATCTCCAATGTTTTGTCTATAATATAAGCCATAGTCGTAAAGAGTTCCTTCTCTAGTAGAATGAGAATGTTTTAATTCGGGTCTTATTATATTTGTCTATAACAAACAAATATATTAGAATGTTATCCGAAACTTTTAAATAGATAAATAATATTAGTTAGACATTTTCAAGATTTTTTTCGTTATAAAATATTTTAATTAGTTTGGTTACATAAAAGACAAAAAGCTATAATTTATTTAAACTTTGGTAATTTTTCATTTTGACATTGCTGTTGTGCAAGTAGACGTTCCTTGAATGGCCTCAGAGGTGCTGCAATGCTATCTTAACAAAAGACTAATAAAAATTTGTATATCTTAACATAAGTTGACATCGCATTGTTATTCCTGAATCAAACTTGCCAACAACTTTTATTAATCGCCAGCCATTTGTTATTGCCAACGGATAAATTGTAGTTGTTAGGTACATAAGTGATATGAGCAGTGGCGTAGCTACCTAGGGGCTAGGTGGGGCAGTGCCCCGGGGCCCTCAAGCTCAGGGGGCCCTCGAATCCTTACCAGAAATCTCGATCGTTCTGAACTTTTGGAAATTTCTCCCATTTTCAAAACAAATATGATAGGTTGCAACCCCACTTTAATCAATACATTAATTTGAGAGAAATTCAAAAGTTATGCCTAGGGAATTTCCCTAAATTCTTTCTGTAGTTTAGCAGTATTGTCAATTTGACGGACAGTGATATGTGCATTTTATTATTCATCGATATGCGTTTTATTGTGAATTCGAGTTAAGATTTTTTTGAGAACTGTTAAAAAATTCATGCTGTATCAGAACTAAGTAAGCTAATGTCAATAAACTTTTTTGTACTGGTCCATATAGTGGTTCAATTTTATTTGTATAACGCGAATTAGATAGAGAGAGAAGTCTGGATTTAAACGAAGTCATTGATACTTTTGCGATAACTTAAGCTAGGAAAAAATTGTAAATATAATTGTTATTTAGTCAGTTGCTAGGTCCGACCTTTATATAATAAACCCTTGAATCTTCTCTATTTCATTTGTTACTGTTTAATATTTTTATGACCTGCCCTGCACAAAAAAGAGCTTAAGTAGCTTAGGATTTTTGAAGTATTTGTTTATTTCATATTTTTATTTGATAAAACCTAATCAGTTTACATCGCAGTGGGGCCCCATTTTTTAATTTGCCCCAGGGCCCTAGGTCACCTAGCTACGCCACTGGATATGAGCTACTGGGGGCTTAGTCAAGATGCCTTAACAGTAGAAAGTCGAAAACTAAATTTGTATGAAAATTTGTGGACACGAAGTGTCATTCAATTCATTCAAAATTAAGGCATCTTCACTAAGCTCCTCGTCTTTAAATAAATGGTCCATCAAAAATACAATGCGTCATCACCCATTTAGGCACCTTACAGGACTTTTACATTAAAAACTTGTTTAGAGAAGCTATGGGAACTTAAAATAATACGAAAATGCATTTCAATGAAATTATTTTATATTTGAATATTTATTAATTCGAATCATGTTCAAACTGCGTATACGTCGTAAACGGTATCCACAATCTCAATCGGAATAGGCACGAAGTATACAACGCCTTCACCATCGGTCTGAAATAGTAATTATAAAAAATATACGATAATTTTTATTGATTACATAGAAGTAAAAGTATGAGATTAGCAATTATTGGTATCGGCTCATGAAACGGAAATAATGGAGTGTATGAAATTCCTATTTTATTTGACATAATAGTATAGCAATAACGAATATATTATACGCATTTCTTACATGTTTTGTTTTAGTCTGCAGGTGCTATGTTACTTAACTGAGCGCTAAGGTATTAAACATAATGTTCGAACACAATATTTAGTAGTTACTACCATAATGACTCTGTTATCTGTCGTTATAGTAAATCATTAACTTATTTTGCATTAAAATAATTGCTCAATTCATTTATCGTCTGAAAATCGTTCCGTGCAATGCGTACAATGCGGTATTAAACTTACATCTTTTTTTTCTTTTTTGCAATCTTCACCTTGTTCGTGTTTCTCTTCACCCTCTCTTTCATGCTCTTTATCTTTACCAACTTCAGAATCTTCTCCTTTAGCAGATTCTTTCATTTCTTTTTCCTCACCTAGAAGAAAACAGATGTTGTGAGTACATCTGTTATGTCAGTCAACAGACGTAAATAAATCGGAAAGATTTGTATGGGGTCATTGGTCAATCTATCTGACGATAGCCATTACGTTGACATTCTAATCACTAACCTTCTCCATCCTCTTCAGTCTTTTTATCACCTCCTTCCTCACCTTTTTCTTCCTGTTCATTTTCTCCAGCCTCGTCCTCTTTATTCTCTTTTTCTTCCCCTGTTTTACTTTCACCTCCTTCTTCGCGTTCTGGTCTAGATTTCGTGGAAATACAAAAGTTTTCAATACGGTAGACTCTGTATAATGGTATATTACGATAAAACAGTCAACTGTACTTTAAAATAAATTTGGACGATAGTCAACTCCAATGAAGTTCTTTAACGTTAAACTCTTTAATTTTAGGGTCTTACCTTCCTTCCTCTTCATTTTCAGGGGCTTCTCGTTTTATTACTGTAACGAAATTATTTATTATCAAAATCGTAACTATTTAATTTTAATTGGATTACGTAAATTTTAGGGAAACTAGCGATTACAAGGTATTTGAGATATATGGCACTTACCAGCACAATATGTCAATGTAAGACATAAAACAAGTATAAACACTGTTTTCATTTTTATTGATTATAACTGCATACGAATATAATACTAAAGATAAATTCAGATACTATAGTTTTGCAAAAATATCTGCGTCTTTTATAGTTATTGAAAGACAGCCATGAACGAGAGACTATATTTAGATGTTTTTCACGACATTGTTAAGTTGTCCTGGATGTTATTGCTGTCATTAATATAATTATCCAACATTTTACAAATAGGATTCTTTGTGCATTATATACTTTTGAATACTTTGCAAAATTCTTTTATGTTTAAATACCAAGGTTAAAATTTCAAGAGGTTTATTAGTTTTTCGGTATGTCATCGACCCTGACCTGACTAAGGGAGGATGGAAATTTTGAGTTTAGACATGTTCCTTTCTTGTCTTGTTCAAGTTTTGTATTTAGTGTTTTTTTATTTAGGGATCTAGATGAAACCACCTTGTATGTATCAACAAATTGGTATGTAGCCTTTATGGAGAGCCGCAAGTGAGTGCGAAAACTATACGTTTAAAAACTGGATATTAAGAAAATTGAAAATTTAAAAAAAGTAGGAAAAGTTGTATCCATCTTTATGCAAAGTTTGTGATTGGTTTACTACGTAATACGCGTATCATTATTACGTTAGGTATTGGAGACGTCTTTGCAGTAAAATGTGTCTTGTCAGGGATTAAGTTTAAAGACAGTAGTTACATTGTCTCTGTGCCAATATTCGACAAACTATATTAATTATCAAATCTATAAAAATTCTTGTACTATTTGAACAAATAAGTAGAGAAAAATTTTGATTGTTATTCAATGTTTGTTGTAGGTAGTATTATTTCTAGATTTATCCTATTAGTCTGATCTCTCGTCTCTTTAGGCGAAAATTACTGTGTAATATCCGTAGGTTTTTAATGATAATTCTGATATAAGACATCTTTGCTAGAAATTTTATAAAGGCGTCTCTGAAGACGACTCATGTCTGCAACAGACATTTTTAGTTTACATTATTTTAGTGAGTTACTCTTCATATTAAGACAAAAACAGTTTATGCTACTTGTTGATCAAATGTTAAGTAGACTCTACTACACATGCATGCGAAAACTGCTAATAAATAATCAAGGCTAACATAATGCAGAGCAGTGTTGGCCTAGTGGCTTCAGCGTGCGAATCTCATTTCTGAGGTCGTAGGTTCGATCCCTGGCTGTGTTAAAAGGACTTTCTTTCTATTTGCGCATTTAACATTCGCTCGAATGGTGAAGGAAACCGGTTTGCCTTAGACCCAAAAAGTCGATGGCGTGTGTCAGGTACAGGAGGCTGATCACCTACTGGCCTATTAGATTGACAATAATTGATCATGAAACAGATTCAGAAATCTGAGGCCCAGACCCAATAGGGTTGTAGCGCCACTGATTTTTTAATTAATTAAAACGAGTTAATTAAACGACTTAATTGTTACGAGTAATTCCATTTTTTCACAAAAATTATATACTTTAATTTTTTTTATTAGGCTTAGTAACAGTATTAGTCAATAGTTAATTAGTAGTCAGTCAATATAACAAAAAGGTAGTTTGGCACTGCAGCGACATCAAATACCACGGACGAATCTAAACCTTTATTGATTGATTAGAGACATTCTCAAAATCATTATCAGAAAATGTTTCCTACCAAGGACTCTTGCGCTGGATATTGAACAAGAATATAATGAAGAAAAGAGAAATAATGTTTCTATAATAAACTTGAAATAATAAATATTTTTATCAAACCATATTTAATTATAAAACAAAATGTAATACAATTATGCACCGAAGCAATATTATCAATTCAAACACTGTTTCATTCGTTTTACACTGTATTAAGTTATACATATAAGTATATCATAGTTTGTCTCTTCATAAACAGTTAAGGCATGTTATCAATTGCTTAAATAAGAAAAAAACTTAATCTAAAATTTATATGTGTATTAGTAGGTACATGTATTTTATATTACAAGTATACAAATGTTATGGAAAGGAAAAAAATAAACTGGTTAATTAATGAGTAACATATTGGGAACTGTACATATTCCAATTTATAAACAAAAGTTATCTTTTATCGAAAGCTTTTTGTATCACCTGGAGGGCAAAGTATCCTTCTGACTATAGCAAATTTTTCTGAATCAAAACTTCTAGTTCAATTTGCTTTTAAAATCCATATGTTTGATGGCATAAAGTTCAGGTTCTTATGATTGTTATTTTAACTTTAGCAATAGCATATTTACAAAAATAAATTAAAAAACGTTTGTTTTTTTTATATTTTAGTGCTTTCGTAAAATTTGTTACAGCACTTAGGATACTTCCTCTTGGTGTCTAGAATACCCTTTTGTATACTTAGTATTCATCGTTTAAGTCTCCATACTTATAAGTTTTCTTATCAACTCTTCCATTATCATTATTGATAATGGTATCAACGCCACCACCGCTCCTTTCACCGTTGATATTGGACGAATGTCTGTATGAAACAATGGACCTGCCGCGAAATTCTTCATTTGGGCCGGGCCTGTATTTTGGGATAACTATGGGGTCGATTTTTGGTACAGGTGGCAGTGGTAAGAATGGAACCTGAGAAAAAGATAAATGTGAATATTATGACATTTCAATCTTAACATTATTGACAACTATTGAAATTATTGAAAATTTTTCACTTGGACTAAATTATTATTTTCTTTTTGTTATTTTACTTATACTCCTTCCCTAACACGGAAAAGGGGCCGTTCAAGTATTACGTAAGCACTATAGGGGGGAGGGGTCTTTGATTTTCTTATTTGGTGATTACGTCAACAGTAATTATTTACTTTTTTACACATACTACAGACATTGAATGCTTGAAAGCGAAATGCACTTTCGAAACAGTGTTTGAAATAATAATATTGTTTCGGTGCATAATTGTATTAATTAAATTTTGTTTTAGAATTAAATATGGTTTGATAAAAATATTGATTATTTTAAGTTTATTACAGAAATATTATTTCTCCTTTCTTCATTATATTCAAATCAAAAATAATCAAAAATCATTAATTCATGTAGGAACACAGGAAGCAAAAAGCGACGGCTATAATTGCTTTGAATTAGGATGAAAAAACTGTGTAATTATAGGTTAATAGGTTATTAGCACTGGCACACCAACCCACCAATTTAAACACGGCCAAACATGCATCCATATAAAAGACGTTATGTTACAGCTGGGTTAGTCTAACTAATAGAAATACATATATATTATGAAATTAAAGTATAAATAGGAAGGTGCCATTAAAAATAAAGCTTTATACAAAAATATGCTAATAGGAGTAATTCTTCATTTCCTTTCAATGTCGGTTTTTTTTGCATTGGAAAGGCAAGCCAGGTCTATGACCGTAAAAAGAAGAATGATCTTTCTTTGACAGCCATAGAAGACTCTTTGTCTTGCCTCCCATGATTCTTCAAACAGAAACTTACTGAACGTTCATGTTCACGTAAAAATTTTAATTTTTTTAAATACTGTCTCCATGATACCTGTAACATGTAAACATGTAAAACGGGAACTATGGAGACACGCGTTTCTCAGTTATTGGTTTACAAGGGTGGTACAGTATAACATTTCTTCAACGGAATGTTACTTTAGTTATCTACGTTAGTTAGTCTTAGTTATTTGGCGGTCGCGCTCAAATAAGTCGTAAAGCAGTCATTTTACGCCGCTGTGAAAACCGCTGTGTGAGTTCGAAAAGTGAGTTACAGAATCGCAAGGCTGTTACTTTTTCACAACCGACTGCGGTTAGCGAACGACAGTCTTACGGTAAGAGACTTAGCGCCAAGTGTGACTCTTCTATGCCCAAAAGGTTTTGAATATTGTATTGAACTTTGACTTACAGGAGTCATGGTTGCCAATAGTTCTCGATCCCTAATCTTACCATTGGTACGCTGTGATATAGTGTCACATAGTATATATAAGCTTAACATCCAATAAAACAAAACACGAAAAACACACACTGGTTTAAAATCAAATTTACCTTTATTTGAGGAAATGGGGGTACCGGTAAGAGAGGTAAAGGTAACTGAAAATGTATAAATTAAATTACAAACGGAGCGACTATTTTAATAAACATTAGTTTTAAGTTAGTTTACCTTTATCTGTGGAAGTACTGGAAACTGGAATTAAATTTCTTTATTTGAATATCAATCGTGAAATGGAACTAATAAATTTACGTTTCCCGACATTGTATATCTTGTGATGAAATACAGAAAGGAGTAAAAACGTTTGCTTTAAACTGTCTTTATTTATGACCTCATTGTACATGTATTAATTAATACAAAGCAGAACTGCCCTGCGATTCTGTAACTCACTTTTCGAACTCACACAGCGGTTTTCGCATCGGCGGTCGCTCTCAAATCAGTCGTGAAGCAGTCATTTTATGATTTGGCATTCTGAAAAGGTGGGAGCTCGTAGTTTATTGTTTATCAGCGAAAACCGCTGTGTGAGTTCGAAAAGTGAGTTACAGAATCGCAGGGCTGTTTTAGAATTTTTATTATAATGTAAAAGCAACGCAATTTTGTTGTGAATACAATATTTTTATACAAAAAAAGCAAGAAAGAAATATTTAGATTTAGTAGAGTTGTATTTTAAATTTTACGTGTATTAGTAATTTAAGTAATATTTCATGCATTCATGCATTACAGAGACTCTCTTACCTTAGGTATGTTAGGTCGTGGAAACTGTAATATTAATACAGAAAATTAAAATTACCGTAATTAAGTTGACATATAGCCTCTAAGTTTAATTAAATTAATCATCAAATAGATTTGAAACTTAAGTAAGACATAATAAATCCAGCATCAAGATTGAAGTTCAGTTGCTTACCGAAGACCTGCAACAAATAAAATTATGATTTAATGAATTATTTTTTTTGAAATATTTTTTTAGTTAAATGATTAAATCATTTAACTAAAAAAACTATTAAAATCCGTAAATTGGTTTAAATTTTTATATAAAATATTATGTAAGAGCAGAGATGGCTTCAGCGAGCGACCCTCATCCTTGAGGTCGTAGGTTCGATTCCCGGCACTAAAGGACTTTCTTTTATATGTGCGCATTTAACATTCGCTCGAACGGTGAAAAAAACATCGTGAGAAAGCCGGCTTGCCTTAGATCCAAAAAGTCGATGGCGTGTGTCAGGCACAGGAGGCTGATCACCTACTTGTCTATTAGATTGACAAATGTTCATGAAACAGATACATAAATCTGGGGCCCTGACTTAAAAAGATTGTAGCGCCACTGATTTATTTTGTTTAGTATATGTAATATATATTGACAATTAATATAATATTTAAACTCTAAGAATGACACTGATTAAAACTTACACTATATTGATGTTGGAGTCATCATCAGGATCTGTAAAGAAACAAATATTATTTAAATTCTATATCTGCAACTTGCAAATTATTAGGCTATAAATAATAATAAGTAAAACGACGATAGACGAAACTGTATGAACCATTGATGCATGGCCGGGGTTCAAACCAACTGCCTCAAGGATGAAAGACGCACGCTCAAGCTAGAAAAATATCATCGTTGTATGTCAACGGTTGTGACAAGGGATGACAATCAAATAGAACACGCCATCTTTGCATTGTTCGTTTTACATTCACATTGGAATACTTTAACTTAACTTTAATTCAATTAAGGATATTGGGAGACTGGTTTCCAATCTAGGTAAGAACCTATGATATGAATAACCAGGCTTCCATTCCACAGCAAAGTCATACTGAGTCATAACAAAAAAAAAATTCATATATGAGAAGGCAATAAAATTTAGTTTCTAAAGAAATGAAAAAATCTAATCAAATTCAAAACAGTCAACTAGATTCCTACAGAAATGGAGTTGTATATGTGTGAGTGAGTGAGTGAGTATTTTGGAGGGTGTGTGTGGGTTGGTATCGCACACGCTTAAGCCCTTTTTTTGTAGAAATTATTTTAATACATCTAGCAGATTTTCCGATTCAAAGTAAAAATTTATAGACTATTTCCAATTCCAGATTGAAAATCTAAAAAAAATCCATTGCGATTTTTTTCCTTAAGTTAGAAACTTGTGTGATTGAACACCCGGTATGTACTCGTAAATCTGTCGGCCCGGCGCCTTCATCGAAACCTTGAAACTCCCGCGATTGGGATCCCGACGATTAAGTTTTTTACGCGCGACCCCAAGGTTGTTGCGATATCAGCATTCAGCGCTACGTATATTTAGTCAGAACTACATCGAAATTGAATACAAAAGGTAGAAGTGACTGCCGCTATCGCTATTAGAAGTTACGGAGTACCAGCGCTGCTCTTGTCACATCATTCCATAGGAATATGATTTATAGAATTCCCTTTGGTAGGACCGCGTATTATACAGCGTTTAAACCTCGATCCACAGTACTACATACAATCTATACTAATATTATAAAGAGGAAAGATTTGTATGTAAGTTTGTAACGGATTGGCTCAAAAAGTACTAGTCCGATTTTAAAAATTCTTTCACCATTTGAATGCCACATTATCACTGATTAATATAGGCTATTATAATAATACTAAAATTACAATAATGTTTCCCAAGGTGCAAAAAAATGCAAATATCTTTCATCGCATGCGCTGCGTAAACGATTGAACATATCAATATCTACAAAAAATCCGGGACGGGCCGCTAGTTATTAATGACAGTCTCCATGTCTTCAGGCGTAAGATGCTGCAGCCACTGTTGATCCGTGACCAATAGTGACAATTACAAAGTAGACATGTATTAATTATTTTTTTTATATTTTCAAGTTGCACATTTGTATTTTTTTATCTAGTTTGTTTTTTACTTTTAATGTTCAAGTTATTTTCTCTTTATCATTGTAATGTTTACCTGTAAACGTCGTCATGTGTTCTCTGTAAGTGTTTGTATGTGGTTCGTTATTGAATTTGAATTTGAAAAAAAAAAAAAAAATTGTTCTCACATGTATGCTCCTCGATCACCCCATTACGATTGGTAATAATTTTTGTGCCACCCCCACGTTGCACTTTCCCATCCTGGCCAACATTTGTGAAACTAGACGAAGATATGGCAACACCATTGTAATTGACTCCAGGGCCTCCTCGCTGGTTGATTATATCCTCCGGGGAAAATGTGGGAAATGTTGGGAAAACTATCGGTTTGATCGGCGGCATCGTAATTGAAGGGAATTGTGGTTGCTGAAAAAATAGATCAATATTAATATTATTTGTTCGGATTATTATTTCGAACCAATTCGACTTAGGGTCCTTCAAGGAATCGTACCAATTCTTAAAAGGTCGACAGCGCACTCGCGAGCCCTCTGGTGTTGAGAGTGTCCATGGGCGGTATCACCTAACATCAGATGAGCCTCCTGCCCGTTTGCCCCTGTTCTATAGAACTTGTTAACTTCCAACTCCACCTATCTATATACAATGGATCCATGTAATGAATAGCATCCGTTTTAAAATTAGGTAGGAATTTCAATATAAGGTCTATTGCAAAACCCTAAAAAACTCAAAATTTATGGTTTTATGTGAATATAAACTGTCGTGTGCATCCAATGAAGATATGCATAAAGCGATAGAAGATCGTTAGATAGCAATGACAATGTCAAGAATTGACACTGTACTTATTAACTGACAGTTTTCCGATTATCCGAGATTTTTACTAAAACGAAATAACTTTTAAAAACTTACCCTAAAACCATGGTTGCTGGAACAAAAATATGCATATCTTAGATTGAAAATCAATACTTCATAATTATGTAAAAGCAGAGAGCATTTTCCTTATTGATAAGCATCATGTTATGTCTACCGATAACAGGAAAAACTTATCAAATTGATTACTTATTTAAATAAAATTAATTTCAAAACAATTTTCTATTTAACTTACTTTTGGAAATTTCCATACTCATTTTGGTATTGATTCAGGGCTGAAAACGCAAAAGGATGGTTAATAAATTTTATAATCGTCTCACTTCGGAAATACATATTATAATTCCATTTTAATATGTATTGTAATAGATATATTAGAACGGTTATAAGAAACCGAAAGGGCCCAGTGGGAAGAAGAAAGAGAGGATGCCCACCGAAAACTTGGGAGGATGAAATAAAAGGGATAGCGGGAAAAAACTGGAAAACTGTCGCAACAAATAGGGATAAGTGGAAGGATCTGGACATGGACTTACTGTAGTTTAGTGTACTCGAACAAAGGCTATTTTTATTTATTAATTTTATTAGAAACCGATATGGCTTGGACTCTTAAATCAATACGTGTCACCTTCATCATAATCATAGATAAAGAGGCCATAACCAAAAAGGGCCATTGCATTAAAAATATTATAATTTCGCACGTACAGTTTCTGTCTTTCATACTAAACTTAAAACTTACCCTGTGTACAAGTAACGGCCAAAAAGGCGACGACACATCGAAGCGCCATCGTTAGCACTTTGCAAAACTTTGGACAAACTAAAAATGCCTGAAAAAATTACTCATTTAAGTACTCATTGTCATAACAACTGAACAAACAGTGTAACGAATTGTTCTGGGAAACAAGAATTATGTACTTTGAAAATGTATGACGAAAATGTGTGAAATGTTATTGTAGAAATCTTTTTGAATCTAGAATGTTTTGGAATTTACACTGTAAAACCGAACAGTATTTGCACAGTATTAAAGTTGTGTTATTCTTATTTTAAAAAGTCAGAAACAATTTTTTTATTCACAATAATTGTTGGAAGGGACAGTTGCGTATTTTGCTTACAAATAATAATTATCAATGAAATGGACACAGTCTGACCAAGACTCATTACACTTGAAATGTATTTTTGATGTACTCTAAATAATGAATTCATATATGTATGACGTATGTAGGAGCAAGACAAAGAAAATTCTGTACATATTTGCATCTTTTTATTTGACTTCGAAAAGTCCGAAAAAGGTTCGAAGATTCGACGTGGTTTTTACTTTTTATTTAACATTTTTGCTGCGCATAAATGGGAGAATGGTTAGCTTAGTAGGTACTCTTAGCAATTACTATAGGCTTTTATTTAATATATAAGGAAAGTTCTTTTGATTTTAAAGATGGGATACTAGTAGAACGTCAGACTTAGTTGGTATTTAAAGCTTAAAAAAAATCATTTATAGCCCGTATTTTATAATAATTACGATAAACATATGTATGTGATAAACAATTGATAATTTGATATAGTACAAAAACCTAAGGTATTTAAGGAATACAGACTTGAAACCACGAAACCTCGAGTCGAGTCTCGAAGTAACGTTAAGACGTAATAAATATTACATAAAATACGATTCAATTATCGTTATTAACATATTGTCTTGGATTATGACACCCTTGGTAGCTATTAATATTCACCATAACACCTAATCCCTTAGGATTATTATTAAACAATAATAATAATGGTAAGGATAAATAATAATTCCGAAGGCAGCGTAACTGTGTGCGTCTCTCAACCCTGAGATCCGCTTGAATTACAGCTGTGCAACGTACATATCTTTCTATTTGCGCATTTAACATTCATTCTTACGGTGAATAAAAATAAGGTGAGTGCACAGAAATTAAAGGCGTCAGGCTTAGAAGACTGATCACCTATTATTAAGAAAAAAAATATCAAGAAACCGATGCAGAAATTTAATCTAGCCTAGATCATGAGTTGTTGATCGTTAAAAGTGCATTTTGATTATAATATAGGCAATAAACTGAAATGTTCATAAATCTCTATGAAATCCTGTAGCTTTATCATAATCCACCCATATTGATCAACCTGTATTCATTATTTATATTATTACTTATTTTATTTAATAAAATGTACATAATATATGTAAAAATCTTATATAGATCAACATAAAACATAAGTCGATTATAAAATTAACATAATAAATATGTACAAATAATTGGATAATTTATAAGCACAAAACTCATCTCCGGGCTAACCTGTTTTAATGCCAATTCATTTTCCTGTTAAAGTTTTAACCTTTGTATGTTTACTAGGGCACCGATTCGATTTGCTCGAATAATATTTTTTTTTTTTGATCCTTAATCCTTGACGCCTAGGCCATATGAGGTACTTAACCGGGTATTCCCCTGTATATTAATCTGCCAAGCTTTAGTAAATCCCGTATTACTTTATACAATATATATACAATTTTCGAATGTGTTTTACAGTTTAGAGTCGTATTGCGTGTCTCTAGATGATGTTGTCCAGTCACAACCAAGGGAAATGGTCGGTCTGTTTATATCCATTAATTAACATTTGTCCACTTGCTTCCACGGAAACCCTGACAGTTTAGTTGTAGCCAAATTGAAAACCAACTTAAAGTGGTCATGTGATCAGGCGTAGATGGCGTTAATTTCACTATGATACCGTTGCACGCCTGTCAAAGAAGTCTAGGCTGCGCGGAACGCAGTATTCACCATACCTTGTTATTCCTCCACAACAAAACAAACATATGTTTTGATTAATAAAATATGTAATTATATTAAAAAAAAAATATTAAAAATTAAATATTTTAATAATAATAAGGTTGATTATTATGGGTGGATTCTGATAGAGCCTTTTATAGACATTTATGAACATTTCAGTTGATTGCCCATCTAGCTTAGGGGAAAATTATAATCAAAATGCATTTTATGCGATAATGCGTTTACAATGCTACTATATGTATACACGTAAGCCTGCACTATAATTGCATATATCAGACCATTTACAGCATACATTTATTGATAAATTATCAGCTAGACACATCTTTTATGGAATGTTTATTTACCTATTGGATCTTGTTTAAGTTATGAATACCTTAGTTTTAAATACGCTATACTATTTGGTATTAAAGTAGCCAGGGCTGCAGTTACAGGTATGGAGGCCTCGGGGCAACAAAAGTCCACTACTTTTTAATAAAGGCTCCAAATTAATTGTCCAAATAAAATGAACAATTTTTTTCAGTTGAGTTTTTCAATCAATAATTTATTATATAACCAAGTCGGAATTAAATTCTTTTTTTCCGAAGTCTCTATTCTTGGAGCTTCTCTTTTATGGAGTACCTGGAAATAGCTTTTATCTTCTAACTTAAATTTTATTTATCAAAACTAATATTAATAATATAGAAATGTTATAATAAGAAGTAGAGAATAAAGGTTATAATAATTGAACAAAACAAAACAAGCAATAATAAATTTTATGAATCTATTTAGTATTCTTTTATAATTGCATTCCTTTGCTCGTATTTCATAAGTTCCTATTTAATTCAATTCATGACAAAACTGCATTGTCAAAAATCTCTAAATGATTCCTTTTAATTAGGTTATAAGTGAAAATAGGCGCTAATATTTTTCCATTATTATTCGTAATATTCGATAAGGAATATCAGATAGGCGAAATAGTTTGTGTATAAAAAATACACTAATAATTAAAAACCTCGGGAAAATGTCTGCGGGAATTTCCTAATTAGCTAAAAATAACTTTTGTAAGGCTTTAGTAGAAATCTTTGTAAACATCTTTTTAAACAGGTTTTTATGACTCATATCACTTTGTCTAGTGACGAAATCTAAATAAATAAATTTAAAAAGGTTTATTTACTTTTTCCTCAGGCGATTCTACATTTCCGAAATATATATTAAGTAAAATTATTAATTTACTTTTCATACATCCATCTTTACATCCCTTGTAAATGTATTATGCGAAGAAATTTCCTCAAGCGTTGCAAACTTGTCAAAGCGAACACAATAGACTATGTTCATGTCACTAAACAAATTTAGTAGAAATTTAATTAAATTATTAGTCCCGCAGTTGTCCCATTATTATTAACAGATTTTGGGATTTTAAAATTATAAACAAGACTTTTGTACTGCAAAGAAAGTATCAAAAAATTTATGCTATGCGCGCACAACGTATGAAAAAAATCTTCAAAATTGTAAACTTGTACATAGTTTCACACTCAGATTATAGACATTGGATTTCTTGATAAGGAAAATATAAACTTACTTATTAAATACAGGAAAAACGTCCGACTGCCTTTAGATCACATAACAAAGTGAATATTAAACGTGACTTGGATATAAAAAGTTTTATGCATCGGAAAATAAATCATACAATGCAACAAAATTTGCCGAACATCATATACCTACATATAATGTTTAACTGTATTGAACTATCACTTTGGTGTATCTAGAACCGAACATATAAGCTATCAAATATTTAAAATAATGTAAACAACCTGTAATAAAAAAAATATTAACGGATATAAATGTGAATTGATTACATGATTTATATTATTCGGGAATTAACTTTGGTGGCAGTTTTTTGTACGGATGTTTTCAAAATTAAAACACTTTGTTTGAAGCTGAGTAACAACTGACTTTAATGTTTTAAAACATGAGCTTATACCTAATATAAACTTAAGGTTAGTGGGCTTGCGACGCTAACAAAAACTAATATGGCTCATCTAAGGGTTCATAAATCTAAGTGACACTACAATACAAGTGAAGTCGAGCTTATTAGACAATATCGGAAACAAGAATATTGTCTTACGATTTATGAGCCTCCAGTTGTGCATGGGCATGTTTTTCGCGCCATGTGTACGACAATGACTATCATTTGATTTACCCTTCTAATTATTTACTAAAATATATATATGTAACTTAAGTAATGTTAGGTTATATAACCAGGGTTAGAAGTGCTTGTTAGCAATCTGAGCTCTTCACCTTTTGTCAAAGCAAAAACTTTTATTTAAATTTGTAGAACTTGCGTAAACCAAACTCTTTCAAACTTTATGAATAAAAGCTTAAGATTTAAACGAATTTGCATCCCGTAATATAAATAATATTACAAGATCAAACATAACATATATTATATTACCAATTTAACTATAAAGTTGACGTTAAGCGGGACCAATTTAGTGAACTATAATTTAGTGAATTTTTAATCAAATTCATTTTCTTTCAAAATATTGCTAGATTTAATATTAATTAACATCACGCATATAATAAACATAACATATAAACTTCCTGCTCTGGGTTCGATAAAGATATAGCTATCTTCTATATAGATAGCAGAACAAGAATTGTACGCAAAGAAGGCAGATCAGTTATTTGCCTACACAATGACACAGGCGCAGAAATTTTTGCAATTTTTTTTTGTTATTTCAGCTCTTCATACAACTAGTACGTTATAAAAAAATATATACTTTAATATATTATTAGTAATTAAAAACCTGGTATGACTGTAGGATATAATTTTTAATTACGTCAATTATATCAATATCAGAAATAAGTAATTAATAATTAATTATCTTCCTGATTTTCCGTCCATATAACATGAATACACCATAATTTAATATGTTATATATGAATATAATATATTATATATAAATAGAGTTCATTGTGTGGTCGAAGAATGGGCCGTGACACAAGACGTGCGACCCCGTATCAAGTGAATTTATCTCTTATCGAACATATTTCAATATAGGTTCGTATATGTTGTTTAAATTGTTGGTAGGAATTTAGTTTCGATTTTATTTCATGAAGAACAGTGAAGAAATGTTCAATAAATTATAATAATCTATATAAAAATGAATTGCTGTTCGTTTGTCTCCCTAAAAACCAACTGAATTTCGTCGAGAATTCCGCACCTCGGCACCGATTTGACCAATCATTCATAAGAAATATTTGTGAATGTATGAGTTAAACGGTGGGATACATAAATAAATAAGTAAAGAAAAATACTAAAAACGACATTTTTCCAATTAAAACTGTTCCTACTGGGAAATACTTGATGTCTTTTTAGAAATAAAAAATGGTCACTTGGTTGTCAAATATTGGTAGATGTCTTCAGAAATTTGAGTTTCATAGCTGTAGTATGAGGTGCGATCTCTTAAGGGTAAAAAAAATATTAAGTTTTGACACAAATATGTGTAGTAAAGTGACCATATCAATTATCGATATTTTTTAATTTTGTAATTTATTCATTTTTCATAAAAATAAGAAATTCAATAAATTATATAATCTATATAAAAATAATTCTTTCTTTCTCCCTAAAACTCGATTTGACCAATCATTCATAAGAAATATTTGAATGTATGATGTATGATGAGTTAAACGTGGTGAGATAAATAAATAAATAAGAAAAAAAAAAAAAAAAAAAAAAACCCCCCCCTTTTTTAATTTTCCCCCCGGGGGGTTTTTTTTTTTTTTTTTTTTTTTTTTTTTTTTTTTACTTGGTAGTGGTAAAAAAAATATTAAGTTTTGACACAAATATGTGTAGGTGATACGAAGTTCATCTAGTACAAAATATAAACGGTATATAGCAACGGACCTCATAATGCCTCCATCATCAGTTCCACCGATAATGACCTAGAAAAAGAAAAAATACCTAGGTAGGTACATGAGAAAAATATTATTATTAGGTTAAAAAAATTGTCAATACTGTATATTTGTTTGTTATGTTTAGTTACATGAATAAAATATATTTATTACAAACAATTTATTTAAAATTGGGAAATATTTTTTTAATAGTTATTATGTTACATTTGCTTTGAGATATGCTGCGATATCTCCGCTGTGTTGCAAAGCTTACATACTAAAGCTTCTCTAGAATTGAACGAATTATCACCAACACATTAATTAATATGTCATCATCTGATAGATATAAAATATATACATTACTCATGTAAAGTTGTCTTTTGAATAACATTGAATGAGAATATCGCTGTCAATACAATTCAAGGCTCAAGGAGTAAGGACCCAGCTTATGTAACGTCAAGGTCAAGGCGACTTTCTTAGCAAATAACGGTTTAACTTAGTTACATTTGCTGACTCGCATGGCTTATAACGGATTTTATTGTAGGTCATGGTATACTAAATACTCTAAATATTCACACTAAGCAAATGAAAAATACATTTCCGAACTTTTACTCCGCAAAATCTGGCCATTATTACAGAGTATGATGCTTCTTCTAATGCTGTATGCGAAATGTAAAACGATATTAAAAATGTCTTACCCAGGGAGTCTATTTGTATTGATTTAATTTCGCTAATTGCCTTTTTTAGTTATGTAGGCAGTATCTATATTGTAGTTTTACTACCTAGAGTGAACCGAGGCATTATACCATGCCCAACAAATTATAATTACACCAAGCACCGCGAATGTTAACGTAGTTTATAGAATGTTAAAAAATTTAACTTAATGTAATAATTTATTTTGAAAATGTAATTTGTATTTTGTAATGAAAAGTCATAGTCTGTAAAACCTGTGGCCTCGCAAGTCAACCTAAATCGAAAATTAAAGACTTTGAAGCATGTCGTTTGGGTTTTTGTTTCACAATGTCCGGGATAGTTTGGGCACATTTCTGTTCAGGCGCAGTAAACGGAATTTACGATACATTACTGCTCATAATTTGTCTTTTTGATAAATTGTCATTCTAAAAACAATGGGCGCAGTTAAAAGAATGAAAAGCATATATGCACTAAAAAGTACTGCAAGCCCCCTTTAAAAGTTAACGATGTTTGTTAAAACTTATAAAAATTTACTCATATTATCACTAAAAGAAACTTAACTGATTCAATCAATTTCGTCCAAAGTAAACCTGAGACATATTTCATTGTCAAAAACTTTCAATAAATTATAATGCATTAATATAACTCTGTCTTTAACAGATTCAATTAATGGAAACTTTTAATGAAGAATCAATGACAAAACCATGGCAATTGGTCATTACGTGAGATGATTAATAAAACAAGAAGAAATGTATATCTCAAGATCAGATTAATTTGCGGACATTGAGCTGTAGTAATAATTGCTATTTACAATACCTATTACTATACTAAAACAAAAGCAGTTTTAAGGTTAATTAGACTGAATACTCTAGTCTAAACTGCATTTCAAGGCTTACATACTATTATTCTTTACTTTGAATACTACTATAGAAAGCACTATACAAGCAAAATACTAACATAGAAAGCAGTGTTGGCCTAGTGGCTTCAGCGTGGGACTCTCATCCCTGCGGTCATAGGTTCGAACCGCGGCTGCGCTTTTTCTTTCTGTATAAGTCCGCATCACACACTCGCTCAAACAGTAACGAGGAACATCGTAAGGAAACCGGCATGCCATAAACCCCAAAAAATTGACGGCGTGTGTCAGGCACACAAGGCTGATCACCTACTTGTCTATGAAATAAAAAATGATCAAATAATCGCATGCAACATGAGGTTGTAATTGTTAATCCCCCCAGATTACTACATATATATATATATATAAATAAACCTAACTAAACACTCTCATTAATAAAGCTTATAGTATGATTATAAATTAAACTGTAACACTTATCTATGTGAATCTAAACGTCATATAGTAGTTATTTATTTACATCAATTTCACAATTTAAATTAGGTAGTATGTTATAATATTGTTTTATAAATATATTCTCAAGTTTTATTTAGAGAAACAAGTTTTAAAAACCTTTTTAGTCATGCATATTAAAACTGGCTCCATTTTATTTCAAACAAGGCGAGTCAAGTGGAAACGACACGTCACTGCTAAATGTTCTATTACGAACTGGATCCGATATATTAATAACTCCATGTGACATAAACGTGATGGACGCACTATGAAGTCTTCGTTTTCGAAATCTTCTATCTATCTTATAATTTCCAATTTAAAACCCAAACAGAATTGGATAACATTGAAACTGGGACATTTGGATTTCCCAACCTCATCATTTTCCGGTTCAAACAATACGCCGTTATCTCCAAAAGGATACATTCAAGCACCGGTGAGACATACGAAGTGGGGATAAGTCAGGATCGACGCAGGCGCAGCGCAGTGGGTTTTCTGAAGGCTGCGGCACGAGCCGCATGCCAACATCGTTTCTGACCTCGCACGACCGTATTAATACAACAAACATCACCGATCGGACCTAGTTATCTAAATAATCATGAAGCTCATCTACGCGTGTTTGTGCCTCATCGCGGCGACCGCAGCCGCCCCGTATTTCGTGTTCCCGGATGAACGGCGCGAGAGAAAATTAGAACCAATTATAACACCACCGGTTTTACCAATTCTGGAGCATCTGGAGAATGATCCTAGTACGCTGGGTAACAGGGCGAATACGAAACCCAGATTTGGTGGAGGTTTTAATGTGAAGCCGTCTGGTAATGGAGGGTTAACGGCCAGCGTGAGCAGTAGTGCCAGTGGGGGTGGTTTGAGCCACTCCGCGTCACAATCGTTCTCATTTGGATTCAATGAAGGCTTTAGTGCATCTCATTCGGCGAGCCAAGCTTCGTCGTTTAATGGATTTGGAAGGTAATACATCATTTGCGTTATACTTGTAATGCATCATAAGCTCTTTAACCGTATTAACTATAGATTGTTTGATCATAAGGCGTTTCATTCGTGTCCACACGAACACAACACGTCCACACTATATACTCCAGTATATAGGTAATAAATGTGGACAACAATATTTATTTTTGACTAATTGAGAAGTCTTAAAATTTGTCGTTTAGTCATCAGAATTAATTAACTTTAATTTCACTTTAAAACAATAAAACGTTTCGTTTCTAGTTTGCGATATTTTCGATGCCCCTTATTAAAAACATTTTCTATAACAACGTTCACGTCCTAAGAGAGTAATGACACATTTCAGTGGGTTCGGTGGAAGCCAAGCAAGTAGCCAAGCTGCATCGTTTAGCGGTTCAGGCTCTTCAGTATCAGGTGCTGCATCATCTGCCTCTTCACAGGGTGGCTTTGGAAGTGGTAGCCAAAGCGCCTCATCCGCTTTTGGCTTTAACTCCATCAATGGTTTTCAGTCTGAGGTACGTGATTATAATATTTTTTATTTACAGTGTCAAATTAGAACAACCCGCAATTAGACCATAGGATATAGAATTATGCATTTAATAAACTGTACAATTCATTGCGATAGTGAAAGCCTTAACATATTATATTACAAGTTAAAAGTAACAGCCTGCCTGTGCCGACGTCATAGTTAACGCACATGCCGTGTAGCTAACTATGGTGCTCTTGGGTTCGGTTCCCAGCGAAATAGTTATTCCGTTGGCTTTTGATTAAAAAACTATCGAAAGATATGTCCTATCTCCATTAGTGTCAACGACCTATTTTTACCAAAAGTTAGAAGTATGCTACAAATTTATAATGCAAAAAAGTTATCTTTAATATAACAAAAGTTATTTTATCCAGCAAATGTGGTTCGTTCATTTAATTTCATGAAGTTTCAGACTTGAGATTGTTGATCAATTACAATATTATCGTTTTTATTACTATGTAAGAGAAAGGCATTTTTATGGCGAGGAAGCATTTAGAGATTTAACATATAATAACGAAGTAACAGAAATAAAATGCAAGTTTCTAAGATTACATTTTAATCTAATTAATTAATTAAGAAACTCTTTGCTTATAAAAAATTGATAAGTGATAATTAAAACTGTGAACTATATTTTAAAAACAATAGAACTGATTTTGATAAATGTATGTAAAATTTCCGTATAATTTTTGGATAAACATACAATCATCCGTTTACAAAACCGTACTTGCCTGTATAAAATCTCGTATATTTAGTGAAATTAAATAAAAGTGAGAAAGCATTATTTAACTAATTGATGAAACAGAAATGTATCTTTCTTATGTTTTGAAGCCTTTATTGATAAGCGTATTTTCATTACAGCCCTCCTTCGGAGACGGACTTCTAGATATTAGACAACGCGGCACCCCCGGTTTTACCTTCCCGGACCTACTCGGGAGGAGTAAAGGCGCGAGCGCAGCCGCTTTCAAATCTAGACCTAATTCCCAAAGAAATAGAGACGATTTTCTTGCAGTACTAGTATCTAATTAAAAGTCTTCAAGGTCCTATGTGCATATTATAAAGGTGTCTTTCCCAAGTAACATTGAAGTTTACACTATTGTTATAAAGGGAAAAATAAGTTTTTTTTTCATAAAAATTGTTGCAGGCGTATGTAGTATTGTCTTTTATTGAGATAACCTTTACACATTTAAAGAAAAAACTTTTTAACCGGATTAAAGTTATGTATTATTATAAATTGGAGGACACCGTGAGCCATTTTTGCCAAAACCCTCCATCTTTTAGTCGATACCAACTCCGGGGAAATAAATACAGATAATGCTACTTTTTCTACAGCTGTGATACTTTTTGACATCCAACACCTTTTGTCTTCAGTCACCGCGACCACGCACGCTGTAAAGCACGCGAAACGTCGGTTAAATTTGAAATTATGTTAAATAATTGTAAATTTATAATAATACATAACTTTAATCCGGTTAAAAAGGTTTTTCTTTAAAGGCGTATGTAGTTGTATCAGCAGCTTAAATAATACCATACATATAGGGTTTTTACGATTGTGTAATATAAACCGGCCTTTGGTTGACCCACATATTTAACTAATCTTGTTGAATATCAAGTTATTAGCTTACAACTATGAACAGTATATGAATAGACTATACATACAAATAAAAACCAGCTGCCCACAGAAGTATTTCCGAACCAATTCGACTTAGGGTCCTTCAAGAAAAGAGCGTACCAATTCCTGAAAGGCCGGCAACGCACTTGCGAGCCTTCTGGCATTGTGAGTGTCCATGGGCGGCGGTATCACTTAACATCAGGTGAGCCTCCTGCCCGTTTGCCTCCTATTACATAAAAAAAAAAAAAAAATAAAAAAGACTGTTTATATAACTTCGTTTATTTTTTTAGTCAAAAGTTTTAGATAGAATGTTATGTTAATAAGCTGGCTTGTCAATAATCTTGCGCAACATATTATATATGTTGCGTGTAAATATGTATTATTAAAATTATGAAACAGCATATTTTGGAATGGCGTTTGTTATAGCTATTTTATGTATAGGAGGTATTGTTGTAATTTCTATGTCTATTTCAAATATTTGTAGCATAATATATGGTTTTATATACAAAATACATAGATCTATTATTTATAGGAGTGTTTTTTTGAATTTATTAAATACTTTTGTAATAACTATTAATTTGGTTAATAGTTACACTACGGTATGTTTCTTGCAAAAAAAAAAAAAAATGTAGCATGTATGTTATAAGCTATCTTGCTATGATATTCTAAGAAGGTATTGGGGTACCTAGCGATAAACTAATTAGGTATCAAATAAAATAATTTTTAAAGTAATTTATTATTGGAGTTTACTCCTTAAAAAGGGTTTTGGTTTTTAGGCCCGGGTCGGGGAATTTTTTGGGGGAAAAAAAAAGGGAAAAAAGAAAAGGGGGGGGGGTTTGTGGGAAAAAAAAAAAGGGGGGGAGAAAAAAAAAAGGGGGGGGAAAAAAAAACACACCCCCCCCCCTTTTTTTTTCCCCCCCCCCCCCCCCCCCCCCCCCCCCCCCTTTTTGGGGGTTTCCAAAAAAAAAAAAAAAAATTTTTTTTTGCGGGGGGGGGTTTTTTTTTTTTTTTTTTTTTTTTTTAAAAAAAAAAAAAATTTTTTTTTTCCCCCCCCCCCCCCCCTTTTTTTTTTTTTTTTTGTTTGGGGGTTTTTTTTTTCCCTTTTGTAATACATGAAATTCATAACAGACAAAAAAATCTTGAACTAAAGTAAGAATAATACTAAGAAATATTATTTTTTAAATATCGCTCGTGTTTATGTTTATATTGCAAAAATATGTACGCGTTTGCTTATAATAAAAATACCTTCCAAAAACAAATGCGTCATACTAATTATACTTTCTTTTGTACAAATTGTTTACGAAACAATAAGTCTAGACTAACTTACAAAAGCGACGTTGAGTGAGAACAATGCTGTTACTAAATTTGGATAAACAAAAAGAAATCAATATACCTTTTGGTTTGTATTTCAACTCAGTAAATCTATATATGTATAAAAATGAATTGCTTATCTTTTGTCTGTGCAGTTTTATTGAGATTTAGCTATGTATTTTGATCTTGAAATATTTGTGTTATAAGGTAAGGTTTAAATGAAGAGAAACATATAACGAAAGAAACAACACTTTATTATACATAACAAAAACAGGATATTTATTTTAAAATAATACTAGTTATAGTTTAATTACAATATAATATTTTAAAAAAACGTAAATAATTTAATTTTTGAATACGATTTTAGCTTCAAATCATTATACGTCTTTTGTTCTTGTATCATACTTATATATTTATTATTTACTCAAAAAAGACAAAAAATATTATATATCATTGTATTATTATTATTGTTATTAGTATTGTATTAAATAATGTAGATAAAAATTTTGTACCAAGGTAAGACCACGTTTTACAGAAATATATGTACGAAGTTCCGAAGGTCATTTTGTATCTACTATATATTTTTCTGGTACATTTATGTATTGACTGATATTCATTTTTATAAATAAAAATTTATATTGATTGATTTTTAATAGAACATTAATTTAACCAAATTTATATTAAATGTTTATTAATTGTAATTAAATGATTTCTGTCGCTATGAAAAGTTGCAGAGTACCACCTCAGATGTTAAGACTGATACGTCTATATTTGTAGTAGCAAAGCTACTCCAGCCAGGGTCCATTTGGCTGGCTTGTCCTTAGTTTTCAAGTTGAATGTCCATACATATGTGGGACCGCGAGTCCGCGTCTTATATACGGGACATTCGTACATGTTGCGAAGATCTTGCTTATCTTGTGTTATTGCCTGAAAGAATAAGAAATCATTCCAATTAAAACCAGTGGAGACAACCCTTAGGTCTTGGCCTAAGATTCTTCTATTACGTGGTCTTTTTCTATGACACACGTTGTCGACTTTTTGTCGACCGCCCAGAAATGCGGTTTTATTTAAATTTTGATGAATGTTTGTCGGTCAGTGGAATATATTTGAGTTAAATCATGTCAATATGACTTTTACTAATCGAAAATATTGTATAAGAGACAGTATAAGCGCCAAGTATGAATCCCAACAAATTAATATTTAATTTTGAATTACGTGACTTATTGAACCTTAGATGTGCTTGATTCTCACGATGTTATTAAAAAACTTCAAAAAATTACATTGAAATAGCGTTCACTCCTACACATATAAACAGTACATTATATTCTTACCCTAACATTAATAACAGGCATGGGTGGAAAGAGATCCTTAAGACGTGAGTCCATGATGATACCGGCCTGTGGGTCCCATCGCGCACCTTCCATTAACAGGCCGTGTACGTATGCGCCATCGCGGGGGGCAGAACGCGAGTCTGCTATACTAAAAATTTATTTTAAAAATATAAAATCAAAATAAGTACTTACACTATGCAAAAGTTACGAATTATTTTTTTAAATCCATTTTAGTGTATAAAGTGCGTTATAGAATTGTCATTTAAATATAAAGACAATAAAAAACCTCGCCATATTGCGTGTTTAACTGGCAACAATCTTCAAGATGTCATTATTGCTTGTCATCTCTCAAAAAGTGGTATAATTCTTGGATAATGTGAGTAACAATTGCAATGTCAAAATCTATTAAAAGCTAGTTTAAAGTGCCTCATACTTTTCTTGGCCGGTAAGAGAGTCGCTGTCATGGATATTATTTCTATTAACTATTATAAGGAGAATAATTTGGGTTTTATTAGACGTTGGTAGATAGTAAAATTATTTATTCAACGCACTAAACTAAAATGACGACGGTAGTACAAATTTCAGCCGCCGGCCAAGAAAAGTATGTGGCACTGTACATTGTACAATATAACGTAGTATTTGTCGGAACGTCAGTTGGAATGGACTATATGAATAATGTGTACTACTTGCGCAAAAAGCCACAATATAATATAAAATGTAAATCTAATTAACTGGTCGGTCAGGAGAAAAGGATGGTACAGCCGTGCCGCTTTTTTGCTTGTATTCTAACCGTCGATTATTTTTATTGTACACCTCCTAAGAAGCACTTTGGCAAGGGAACTAAAAGACGATATTATCTTTGAATACTAACGTGAAATCCTCCTTCATCTTCTTAGTGACGTCACACTGCAAACACATCTTGTCCAAGGGGAGTTCATACCGACGAGCAGTGCTTTGCATTATTGCTGTAAGAAGACTTTGTGGGTTGAAGAAACCACCCAGCCACACCGATGTGGGTAGCTAGAAGAAAGTCATTAAATTGGGAGGAGGTTTACCTGACACTCTCAATGCCAGAGGGCTCTCGAGTGCGTTGCTGGCCTTTTAAGAATTGTTACGCTCTTTTCTTCCTAAGTCGAATTGGTTTAGAAATAAAGATATATATGACTTGGTACTTACCACGAAATCTGTTGCCCAAGTTTCCAATTCCCGAAGCCGAAGGAGTAAGTCCACAAACCACGCAGACAAACCCAGGAGTGAGGGATATGCTCGACTGGCCCAGATTATTGGTACCTGATATCAGCTTCAGTTAAAATACTATTTTTATTTACGCTGTACTCGTATAATTTGTTTCATATGATAGGGGGCAAACGAGTTCATGGAGGAGCCATAAAAAGCGTTTGCCGAAGCCCATGGACAACCAACTGGCGGCCTTTAAAATGAGTAATCTTTTTTTTTAAGATTCGATTCGTATCCCCTAGGAAAAAACTCCACTGGAAGCCGATTCTACAACTCGCTGGTAAGCAAAAGGAAATTCCTGCAGAAACAAGATTACTATGTGACTATTATATAGACTACTAGCTGACCCGGCAAACGTTGTTTTGCCATGTACCTATATTATTTCTAGGAAACATTTTTAAGTTCAATACAAATAACTATCTACTATAATAAAAAAATAGCAGTTAATCGTAAAGGGGTGAAAATTTAGGGTTGAATGTATTTTTTAATGGCACATTATAAAAAAAAAAAAAAAATTCGTCCAAAAAATTAAAATTAAATGTTAGGGGTGGACAACCCTTATCACTTAGGGGTTTGAAAAAGATTATAAACAAACATTTATTAACTATGTGATGTTTAAAGTGTTTTTTAACTTTACGCATTTGGTCAAGGAAGAATTGTGTTTGTAGTGTTTCTATATGAAATATTGTTTTTAGGACTAAGTAAAATAATATAAAATTATTTCAATGTACGCAAGTTTTATGTACGTAGGTATGTACGATGTTCAAGCGTGAAAATCAAAAAGAAAATATCATTAAAAACATAGAGAAAGTATAAAAATACCTGGTCTAAAAATAGGGCATTTTCTAATTCTTCCATATCTGAAGTTATTGTAAGTTCGCCCTGAAAAAACAAAGAATATACATGTCTATGGGACACTTCATAATGTAACTCTGAGACTCAGAATAATTTTTAACTACTATTCAATACTTATATTTTAAAAAAAACGTTATCAGTTCGACCTGTATGTGATGTTGTAGAAATTTATATTTTAGCATCAAGAGCAACTGTGCTAAATTGTAAATGTATATGTGTGTGTCCAGATATTAAAAGTCATAATATGAGATGGAAATATTCCACCTTTCATATTCAAGTTTCATCAAAATCAGTTCAGTAGTTTTTAAGATATTCATACATTTCAGGACATAACATACGGAGTTAAGTATTATCTTTATTAATTTAAACTATTTTATATACCTTGAGCCCCAAATCCAGTTCTCTCAACGATCGTTTCATTTCTCCAGTCAAATGGTTCATTCTCTCACACTCCTGGAAGGCCACAATCACGTATGGAGTCCTTTCCTCCACCTTCCCCATTATCTCCACCATATTGAACTCCTCCGGTAACTTCTCTACTATCTCATCCAGCATTTGCTTTACCTATAATTTTTTGTCAAGATATTAGTTTATATATTTGTTTTTTAATCTACCCTCAAGTGTAAGAAATATAAAAACGTATACATACTTATATATTAAATAATAAAAACTTCGTCCCTGTTATGTTAAAAATACGGTTATTGTTTTTTTACATATTCTTTAAATAATTGAAAGTTTTTTGCTTAGCAACATATTTTGCGAATAATTTTTTGTTTAATATTACGAAGTACTTGCCACTGATGTAATGTCGTACTTAAAACTTATTCTTTTTTACAGTCTACCTGCCTTTTTATATGCCTACTCAAATTAATTTTTCTTTTCTACTTCGGACAGTGTTTCAACTGTCAGCTGTCAAACGTGTAATCATCATTTATAGATTATTTAATAACATCGATTACCCCAAAAGTTACGAACCTTGTCCTCTCGGGTGACTGTAGTAGCACCTGAAGCTTGAGCATCCCTGGGCTGCATTTCAAAAATGGTTCTGAATAGATTTTCAGATGTAGTCGTTAAGAAGCCAATTTCAGCGTTGGGATGTAAGCCGTATAGATAAGGGGATTCCGCTGGCATAGCATCTTCTATGTACTGGTGGTAACCAGCATAGTCGGTGTTGGGAGGAGCTGGAAAACCTGGAGCTAATTGCAGTTCACCATCAACCTATAAATAACGTCTATTTCAAATTTGAAGACAATTAGCTAGCAGAAGCTAGACAGAAATAATATTATTTTTACTTTACGCGACCCTCGACTGTTTTCGTATTATATCCAAACGTGTCTTTTCGAAGGAGATAAACATATCGAATGGATTTTTAAGATCACATAAAAACGCACACTCACACATTATATACCTAAACCAATGAATTATTAGTAATTTTTTTTGGATGGAACATATAATGTTCTTTGTATATATTTTTATGAAAAGAAACTAGTATGTTTCTTTATTATATACTAAATTATTTATTAGTTTTATAAATTTTCTAGGAAATTTATAAACTTGCGGATTGTGTTATCTTCCGGTGTCACATATAAATAACAATGGTAAGTTAAACATGTTATATGTACATTACCAAATCAGGTTGCATGAGTTCCTCTAAGTAAGCATTGCATAACCTCCTGTCCCAATCATCAGTAATATGTCCGCCATACATAATCTCGCCAAAGAGGTATCGTAAATCTTCCCATGGCACTTTGGAATTCGCTTCCAAATAATTGTACAAGACAAAAACGCTAATGGTGAGGTCGCCTGAAATAACAGGAATGTTATTTTTTAAGCTATTGCATAGATTTTATCGCGGGCTTTGAGCGCGTCGACTGAATCAAGAAATTCCGTAACGAAAAAAACCTTACGCGTTAGAGTGGGATAGAACGCATACTGCGCATTCCCATCTCTCTGACGAGATCGGTGACGTAGCGTGAGCGGGGCCGGTGCAGCCGGTACGCGTTAGAGTGAGACAGACTATATAGGCGTTTTAGTCTGAGTCTGGTAGATTGAAATAATATCAAAGAAAAAACTTGAATTAATGTCAAAGAAAAACAAATACTGCATAAATAAAAAATAAATAAATAATTGTAACTGCATAAGTTGATAAAAAATGCTGTGCCACACGTTTTTTTTATTTATTTTATAATCTTAATATATATAAATTACGCATCACGTTGTTTGTCCGCTATGGACTGCTAAACTACTTAACCGATTTCAATCAAATTTGCATACAGTGTGCAGTTTCATCTAACTTAAAAGATAGGATAGCTTACATCTTAATTTATACCCGCATTATTATTTTATTGCAAATTATTTGTTAATTATTTGACAGTCATAATTCTAACAGATGGTTCTGTGTTGAAAGTACCAACGTTTCTCGGTCGGTCCCCATGTCCAACGGTCCCCATGACTGGTGTTCTCCTACCGTTTCCATTGAATAGTATACTATTCCGTAACAAAAACCTCAGCCACAGCAACGCGTGGCCGTGTCTGCTAGTTACACTACAGGCTATATGTGTGTAGTATACAATGTGTAGATCAATATTAATTCGCCGGACACGTTTATGGGTGTAACAATATAAATTTGTTAGGTTTCAGACATTGATATACAAAAAACCCAAGATGCACAGTCTCGAATAAAAGTAAGGCTCGAAAGTGACCCGAAACACTATTTCTGTCCATAACAGTATATGTTACAAGCATATATTATTGCAAAATCAACCTTACGCGAATTGCTTAAAGTTGTTATTACAACGCAGTGTATACGTACTTAAAGCAATTAAATTTTACGACCGACCGTGGTCGGTAGGACAAGGTATTGAGTGGAGTCGAACATGACTTTTTTATTTACAACTATTTAACATAATTTTAAATTTATCCGACTTTTCGGGTGCTTTACAGCGTGAGTGGTCACGGTGACTGAAGACAAAAGGTGTTGGATGTTAAATAGTTGTAAATTTATAATAATACATAACATTAATCCGGTTAAAAAGATTTTTCTTTAAATTAAAAAAAAATGTTAAATTGGCTACCTCCTGACCCACACTTTATATAGCGTAAATATATTTGTCAAAAACTACACACAAAAAAGTTCAAGAGTACATAAATTTATTTATAAAAAAAACACAAATAAATAACATCGACTCCACTTGTAGACGCGAGACTATTTGAAATGAGCGCACAATTAAGAATGTTGCGCTCATTTTTTGAGGATATTTTTTAGACGTTGATTGTGCATCTTGGGTTTTTGTATATCAATGGTTTCAGAATATAATTTTAAAGATTTAAATTGTCGAAATATTATACATGTATCTGTATAGACAAGTAATTAAGCGTGTTCAACAATATAAGCAATGCATCACATAGATTTAAGATACATGAAAATAAAAATCTCGCCAAGTCGAGCACAATAGCGGCACTTTTCTTATAGCAGTTCTGGCCTTTTTCAACCCCTATTATTTGATACTGGATGTAAGCCTGAATTTCCTATACCAATCAGGGGTTGTATAAACAAGGTATATTTCAAATATCATACAATTAAACCAGTAATTTAAGAATTATAACTAGTTAAATTCTTTTATGTCACTTACTGACTGACCGATCCGATCCGAAATTCAAAGCAAAAAGTTTTAGATTTAAAATAAATATTAAAAAAATATTTAAAAGACAGTTTTTAATGAAGATGTATATATTTTTTATTAATTGTATTGGTGTATCTATTGTTTCGCATTAGTTATAACTTTAAAGATTTCCAATCCAATTTACAGTTGTCTACTAACCAACATTGAATGGGTAAATTTTATTCCATCCCTGCGGCCCAAATTTCCGCCGTTCAGCAACAACCGCGTGGAAATAACACAGCGCGATTAATATCGCTTTAAACTCAGCTTCCTTCCCACACATTTCGAGTGTCTCTTGATTAAAATTGTCTAAGGCTTTATGGAGGTTGGCCTACAAATATTTATACATACAACTTAAACTTAATCTGAATAACGAGTCCATTCACGTTTTTACTTTTTTTTTAATATTTTGGAAAGAAATATTGCCTATGTTACTCAGGAATATCCTAGCATTCTGAATGTGGAAGAATTTTTGAAATCGCCCCAGAAGATTAGAATTTATTCTTTGCGTTTTCTTTCATGAACACAAGTCTGTCCTCTATAGAATTCTGTTCCCTATGATTAACTTCAAATGTGGTATAAAATTAAGTTTTTGCCCCCTGGACTCCTATTAGGAGCAGAGGGCTCATCTGAAGTTAAGTAATACCGCTGCCCATAGGCACTCACATTGCCAGAGGGCTCGCAAGTGCGTTGCCGGGATGTGGATGAACATGGAAAGCTGTACTTTCACCTTATAAAGGCCAAATTGGTCTGCACATGTTATTATTATTGCAGCACACTGTTACTTACCTGCATCCCAGTGGGCGGTTCGTTCGTAATCTTAATACTTGATTCCAGTATTCCTTGTGGAATAATATGAGCAGCGGGCGTAGCAGCTGGTTCAGCGGACATAAAAAGCCTAAAATCAGGATGGCAACCGTGCGCAAAACTCTCCATTTTCTTTTCCAGACTTGGCAACCATTTTTTTACCAAATGTATATTCTAAAGAATTATTTATTTCATTAATAGGCTTGTATAAATTATATTCCATAAATTCATTTTATAAGACTCAAATCATAGATAAGTCAAGTCTATAGATATTCTCTAGTTTTTAATTAATTACTTTTAAGGGGGTAAATAAACCTATGGAAAGGTACGAGTAGTATGGGCCTAGTATGGAGCGCGCCGTTCGCAACCCAAAAGACGTTTGTTCTAATCACATTAGGAAACTGCCGTCCTTAGACTCAAAAATCGTCGGTGTGTGTCAGGCTTATTAGAAAAAATGCGGTGCGGGTTCGTAACACAATAAAATACCTGCAAAACAACCCAATGTCCTTTCTTAAACGCTTCGTCCATTGCTTGCTCAGCAACAATTTCCTGCCCCTGACCCAAAGAGACATTATGAAAGTTCCCACCATCAGTGGTAAAGCCCATAGCTTTCCCTAACGCTTCCACGTCTTTAAGAGGATTTACGCCGGGTGACAAAATGAAAAATATCGGCGTGGTTGGACTCGTCTCCTCAAAGGATTTACTAAACTCAACAGTTCTATTTTCAACGTATTTTGATCCCATCTTTTCTTCTATATACGTTCTACAAACAATATAAACCTATGTATATAAATATATTTATTGCTTATTTCGAACACAAATATACAGAATTTATAATATGCTTAACCTATAAAGTAAAAATAATTAAAATTAAAAATGTATAAACAGAAAATAAAAACAAATTGAAAAGTTTGGTCCCTGTCGCAGTATTTTTCCTCCCTGTATTGCGATACTTATTTGTTGACACCAGTTCTGGGGTTACCGGTACTATCTATCAGGCACTAACTTAAATCTTTACGTAGCGTCTGAATATAAAAATACTAATTTGAAATGTATATACCTACAATTTAAATTGGGGTTTGATATATATCATATAAATACACTGGAAATATGTTTCAATTATTAAAAATTAGAATAATTGTTTTATAAGTATAGGAAAAGTCCTTTCCTACATAAAAACTTTTAGGTATAGGAAAAACAAGTAGGTTTTAAATTTTGTATTGTTTCTCTAGGAATTGGACCCAGGACTTCTGCATTCGTTAAGCCACGGACGAGTTAAACAATCCCTAATATTGTACAGTTAAAATTGTATAAACTATGTACTCACGCAACGGCGTAAGTCATTCTATCAGGACGCAATGCTCTAATCATACACAGTCTTTGCAGAGCAGTTTTATTTTTCCATTCCTAAAATAAAGAAGATAATTAGAAATATATTTTTTTTAAATAAACTTTTTTGTATTTAAAAAGAAACTGAACTGTGTTTTGATAAAAAAATCTAAAATATCTTAAAAACTATTCAACGAATTCCAAATATTTATTTAAACAAAGGGTTTTTTTTTGCATCACATATTAGCTTAAATCCTTTTTATTGTCATAGAGTTTCTTATGACGCTGTCTTCTCGAAGGTTGGCGATATGTATGAACTTCCTTAGTCTTAGGTCAAATGCATCATGATTTCAATATAAACTCATTATAAAGATCGGCATTACCGTCGCTAGAAGTTACAGAGTTAGAGCTCAGATGTATGAGAATGTAATACGAAAGGCGTAAGACGAAACGTTGCGTTCTATTGTGATTGGACGTTATAACACGACCCATTATGTCGCGTCATCGTCGTCAACGCTGATTGGACTAGAGGTGGTGTTGTCCAATCACAATCAAACGAAAAGCGTCATCGTTCGGTCATTCGTTTTACGTGTCTGGTGCTTGAGAAAAGTCATATAAACCCATATATTTGAGTGTTACGTAAGACATGGCTTACCTGTGGAAATTTCTCCCTTTCAGGACACTCCATTTCCACAATCTTCTTCCATCTTTTAGGGGAAGTTTCTATATCTCTATCGAGATTGCGGAATTCATCTTTACTCGCTAACGAACAAATGCCACCCCAACTTTGGTTTGAGAGGAAATCAACTGGACTGGTGACGTGAGGTTTGATTGGGAATCGAAGGAAGAAATCTAATTCTGCTGTTGAGATTTCTTCACTCATCAAGAGAACCTATAATATTGTATGTTTTAAATCGAATTAATTATTGTTTCGTTCAGAATTGAAACCAAAATTTTTGACTTTCTATGGCGACCATGATTTTTGCGGCTCGAGTAAGTGGTAGTGTCAATTGTAATTATTATTAAGTTAACTTTAACTGGGAGATCAAGATAAAAAGCAAATGTTACGTATTGGAATGCCAACTGGGTTGGGAACTTAGTTGTCACATGTTTTATGTTTTTTTCTTATTTTTAACAGTTTTATTATTGTTTTATTTGTTTAGTGTGTATAGCTGTCAATTTTAGATATAATGAGAACTGAAAATCAGTGTTGCTGGTGATAGCAACTTATAGCTGACTTGGGACAATTTATGATAAAGGAGTGTTCTTTTTTTTGTATGTTGTATTTTATCTTACATACTTACATACAATAATAATGAATAGTTGATAAATATAAGTCTGATGTTTCGAAACTATTTTTGTTTTGGGTTAATAGACGAAAGAGGCAAAAAAAACATCTAAATTATAAACAAAAATATCATAAATGTGTGTCCTAAATGAATGTGTATAAAATACGGGAAATAAGACGCGGATTTTATGTATTATCAAGAAAATGTATGAAATACTTTAGTAGTTAAAGAAAACACAATAAACATACCTGGAATGTCATTTGTGATGCAAATATTAACTTGTCACATTCAAAGAGGCCCCGCGATGTATATTGAAAAACTGAATACGAAATGCAATCAATTAGATTCTTGATTCGTTGGCTCACTTCTTCACTCTCCTCGGCCTTTGATATTGCTTTTTGGAAGACAACACTAAATGCCTGAAAACTCACATTATATTATTCATCTATTCATACATACATTTGAAATATTAAATATGTTTATCATGATTATGATACCTGTATCACTTATTCCACGTCATTAAATTTGAATCGGTAGCACACACCCCTACTCACAGCAAAAAGACAGAGGGTGAGAAGGCCGAGGAAAAAGCGGACGTAAAAAACTCTCGGTACTCTTTTAAAATATCAAATCATCATACAAAAGGACTATGGCAAACATAGAAGAAACCAAAGGGAGGGAGATACGTCCGCTCTTTATTTGTATTAAATTAAAAAACTGAATGATGATGTAAGATATAAGGGAAACCCTCCCCTATATATATTATATAATATATATTGCGCTCCTACCAGTGTCGTTTCCAACATACCTCCCAAATTGAATCTATCGTAGTTTGAATAGTGCCCTCCTAATGGGACCTCCCAAAGAAAATTAACCAATTATCTTTTTGCCAATTTTATACACACGAATGTACCACTAGACGCCTAGTGAATTAGTTATTAGTACTACAAGTGTAGGAATAAATCGAATGACAAAATGAGCAATAAAAGAAGACAACGAATTTGTTTTGTATATTTGAAAAAAAATTCAGATAATATAAAATACAAAAATGATACAAATAACGAAGAACATAAATACATATCTAATAAATAATTCCTTACCTTTAAAGAGAATTGATAAATTGGATTTATAGTATTCAAGTCATTCAAAATGAAATATAAAAGCGACGCACGCGCAGCGGCCGGACGATAGAACTCTCTCGCTTGATCTATTTGGTGTGACGTCACTTTTGCTTCGGAGACCTACAATATTTATTTGGCGTCTCATACAAAAGCAAAGAATACAATTCAACAGATACTTCATGAAAAACCACTAGAATTTTTTTCGTATCATAGGGGGCAAACGAGCCTACGGGGCGCCTAAAAAGGGCAGTTTTCGCAGTCCATGGATGTTGTCGATTTTTTATTCTTAGACCAATCGAGACAAGCAATCAAAGAGACTAGTTTTTAACTGTTATTTTTTCATAATAATTACTTTATTATGTTTTATCATTGGATCGTTTATTAATGGAAATTGTTACGGAAATTATTGCCTCTGTTTATATGCACCGAAATTGCACTTGTTAGAATTTTCATGAATACACTATGTGCTAGATAAATAAACAAAATTTTTATTGTGGTTACCTTTTTTTCAATATCTGCTGCCGTCTTCTTAGTGGTCTCCAAATTCTCTATCAGAGCTGTATCACCAAGAATATTTTCACCAGCCGACGAGAGTCTCGAAAGCAGGTCATCTTCTAGCTTCTTTAGCTGTATTTTAAACTCATTTTGCTGCTTCGTTAGTTCCGCTTTAAGTTCTTCTAGGTCCGGTCTTTCTGCTTTGACGACTTCAGCTAGAAGTTGGTCTTCTAGCCCATCTCGTGTCACGGTAAAGTTCACTAGTGTTGTCTGTGCTTGCATTTCCGGTTTATAATGCGGATTTGCAAGTTTTGTGTGCAAAATTAATCTGAAGTTAGGACTGTATTCAACTTCTTTGTCGCCGATCTTTATTGCTCTAAAATGGAAGTAATAATTAGAATGTTAACTGGGGATGTCCCGCAGCGGTACTTCGTAAAACTGATGATCGAAACAATAATTGACTGAAAATTTGGGGATTCCGATCCCAAATAGTTCTCTCATAAATCGAAGTGCTAAGTTAACAGACTTGAAATTTAGTGGTAGGATCCTCAATATGAAATCAATGTTACAGGTGATTCTTCTAGCTTTTATTTCGAAGAAACCAAAACTAAACATAATATTGTACACTGTACGACTATACTGTCCATAATTAAAAACGTCTAATTTTTACATGAAAACCGAAGACATACTTATAAGTTAAATGTACATTTTCTAATTGAATATATCATAATTTCTTAAAAGTTACCTTCCCTTTTTGATTAAATTTCTTCCCAAAAGCGGATCTAGGACTGGGTCGACAGTTTCCCCTATATTTTCCAATAAAACAGTTTCCCCTTTGATGATTGCCTTTTCGATTGTATCTAAGTAACCTTTCTGGCCCAAACGTATAACTCGCAAACCGTCACCATATTTTTGTTTTATCCATTTTACTCCTTGTAACTGCAAAAAAAGTTATAAAAGTATTTAATCAATCAAAACAGAAGTTTCCTTGAATTTTTTATAAGTTTTAAGTGGTGGTGGTGGTAAAACAATAATATCATATAAGAACTAATTAGAACTAATGTGTAATTAGAACATACTGCCTACTTAAAAACAAAAAATACACCATTTGGCACTGTCTCTTTCTCTTCCACGATAATGAATGACATTATACATTGACAAAGACTATAAATACAATTTGTGTTTCACAAACCTGTGGGTCAATCATAAGCGGCCACCGATCTGAGTTTGATAATATTGTTGCATTCTCTGTGCTCATCCTATCAGAAGGTAGGCCTTCATTTTGCCACATCGCTATAGTTGTGTCATCAGTCAACATTGTTAGCGGATCGAGGCCTTCTGTTATTGGTATTGGAGGCTAAAAATATTATTTTTTTGTTTAATAATATCACAGCTCATAATAATAATTTGCAGTTTATTATATGAATCTCTTTATCTTATGGCAAAAACCTATTATAGCCCAGAGAAATGTTTTCGCAAACACAGCTCTAAGAATACTCCTGTTTAATCATTTATTTAGTTAATGGTTACTTACCGCGAAAAAATAGTCGTAAGCACCGAGCGTATACATAACCATAAATTATTGTAACAAAAAACAATAATAAAAATATGGACTACCAAAAGAATAATAAAATATAAACAATAAAAGTATAACAATAATTAAGAATATTTTTAACAAATTATGATATATTAACGTTACACAAATAATTTGCTAGTAGATAGCGTTTCCAAAACTTAAATATTTTTTAAGAGGAATAATATTTTTTACTGTATTATATATTACCTCTAATGTCTTCAAAAATGGTAACCAATTCTTATGCAGCAAATCCAATCTGTAGAGCTTAGTAAAACAGCCCACGTACGAAATAAATGCACAGACTAAAAGCACATCACCAGGCAGAGTCGTGCTTTGTTGCATAAAACTGTAAAAAAAAATAGATTTTTGAAAGACATGAATTATTTATTTCTGTATTTACTTATCTACGCCGTAGACAATCTACGGCCTTCGAGTCGAAACATTGTGGACACTTCTTACCAAATTTGTAGGAAAATGGTCACGTGACCAAGCCTGAACTAATGTTCTATAGTAATTTGTATACTAATATCTCATGACATTGTAACAGGGTTTTAAAAACAAAAAATATGCTTAACAATAACTTGGTAAATGGTTTTGTATGACTTACTTAAAAACAGCTTCCGCCCATCTAACGTTTTCACTAGCGAGACCATTAACAAGTCTATTTGCCAATTGAATAGTTCTAGTCGTCGCATCAGCTTCTTGTTGGCATTTCACCTTCTCAGCTGTTGCCTTTTCAAAATCTGCCGTGAGCGTTGCTAATTGTTCTTCGAGAGACTAAAAATAAGAATAAATCCTACAACATCTTTAAAAAAATTTTGAAAAATCATTCCGGTTGTTGAGGAATAAACTGTAAACCATATTTTTTTTAAATAAATTAATTACTTTTAATTTATTTTAAAACATAAATACCAAGGGAACCGTTTGTCCTAAACTTATTAAGAACTAAAGCCGGAATTACATTATGAAATTAGTTACAAACTAATTTCCCCAAAATATTGCGCAGGGACTCAAAACTCAGTTGCAATCAGTGAAATAAATGCATGCATTACGAATATATTAAATTACGCGTTAAAACTCTTGGAAAAACTAATGTCACGAAATTAATTTCGTGCCACTAATTTCGTAATGTAATGTAAAATTTATATACTTAGCTACTAAATATAGCGCTGACTATTTTCTTCGATATGGAACCCAACATACGTTTATCTAGACTAATAGGTAGACGAATGTAAGAGGATCAAGTGACGTGACCATTCAAAAGTACTTACAGCAACTTTCGATTTAATAGATTTTAACTTTTCAGTGGCTGCGGCTAATTCAGCGTTTGCAGCGGCTAATGCTTTTCGTTTAGGTTCAACGTCACAGAATACTTCGTAGAATTTGATTATGTTTATCACCCACGCACATAGACCAGCTGCAGCCGCTGATTTAGATCTCACGAATTCTGAAATTCACATGAGGTTTTCAGTTAACTTCAAAGTAAAAAATATTTATTGTCTAATAAAAACATTTGTGAAGTAGAAACAAAAATATATCGGGTCACTTATTAACGGAATCTGGAATCAATTACTGATTAAATGAGTAAAATATTTCTTTAAGAAGGCCAGTGACAATATCTGTTAAAAAATTACAAATAAAAAAATACAAAATGAAGAAGGCTGTGTTTTGTCAAATACATTTAAAAATTTTGACAGAACAGAAGTTCAAAAATCAGTTAAAATCCTTACCCGGTTCAAATTCAGAATCCTTTAAATAGGGCTGAATGGCCTTTATGACATCAGGGTGTATGTTTTCCTTATCGTAGTGTATTAACGACTCCAAAAACATATCTACTTTCGCCATCGTCATCTGTTGAAAGGGGCAAACTTATATTAAAAAATATTTTTGCATCGTCAAACCTAACTTATGTTTTACTGTTAGATGCTGGGTTTGATCCCTGTGGAAGTAATAATTATAGATATTTCATAATGATTTGATACATTCGCATAAATTTACCGATATACAAAGATATCAAAAAGTATGTGGCTATGACAAGTTCGTTTTCTCACATATTCCGACCATCTTGAATTTTTTAAACACCAACATATCGATTATCTTTGTTTAATAAACATTGCAAGCTACCTTAGCAGATTTCCAACTTCTGTCTTTAGGTATCTTCCCTCCTGGTGCCAGAAGCACCATGACTGCCGCCGTAACATTAGTGACGGCTCCAGGCGGCGACCCAAATGATTTCAGTTCAGTGAGATTTGCTTTGTTTAATGTATTCAAAGCATCTTGTGCAGCTACAAGAGCTGGTTCAGCTTTGATAAGGTCTTCTTCACAATCTTTTTGCTTCTTGGATACTTCTTCAGCAATAACTGCTACTTTTTCTTCCTCCTCATCGGCTGGAACATTAACAGTAATATGAGCTAATAAATTCAGGTTTATCCGCTAAGATGTTTTATTTAAATGTTAATATAATTAATTTACTGTTTTATAGATACACAGACATTAATCTTGTTGTCTATGTGACTAATATTATTAATGTAGTCAATTAATCATATAAATATGATTAAGATACACTAACCAAGCGCCTTTTCACTCTGAACCTTAGCAGTTTCAACCCCAACCATTTCAATAAGTTTATCAGCGGCTTCATTTTTCTGTTGTAATTCTATTTCTTGTAACGCTAACTTTGCTTTTAGTTCATCTACTTGCGATGCCGTACCACGAAGTCTTTCTAAACCGTTTTCTAACCTGAATGTAGGGATAAATATAGCTCTGTTATTTAAAGCTTAAAATACAAGTAGTCCTATTAAATCTTCGTGTTGATGTTGACGAATTTCAAAGAAGAACACTATCCGAAAGCAGAAAAAAGGAAATAAGTGATAATACTGACGTATTACATTCATGTCTTGACGTATTATTATTATTCGTAGATGTGTTATCTTGCTAGCTGCTCCTGCGAACTTGTTTTTGCCTTAATAAGATTTTATACTTGCCTACCTTTACATTTCCGTGCATTTTGTAAATTTATGTCCCCACAAAAAGCTTCCTAAGAGTTAAAGGATTAATTTAAAAAAATCTGGGTTTGATTTCCGATTGAACATTTTTCTGTACTTAACATGGAGCCCACATGCCTTTAAACTAATCAGCAATGCGATGCCTAAATATTTTCTGTCAATCTTTTTGAACCTTTACGTAAACAAACCTAGATATTTTTGCTCGAAGCTCATCAGTTTTCTGATTGACCAATTTTGAATAGAGACTGATCTGTTCAAGATAACTCTTCGGCGTCGTATAGTTGTACCGTCTTTCGTTCGATAGATATGCTTTAGATATCGTGTTCACTGACGTGTGGACATACGCCATAAATCGTGACACTGAATCACGTAACGTTATCTGAAAACATGCATTAACAAGGTTATGATTAAACATAACAATAAATTTTTATTTTTTTAAATAATAAATTAGTCAAAATTCGTTATTTTTTTAAATTAGAATGGAAAAGACAAAAAATGCCGTTGCGTTATTAAGGAAGATTAAGTTATATAATAATAATAATAATAAAGCTGTATTTAATTCCATCATGTTTTGTAACAATACAATTTGGTACTGATTAATCTATAATGTCAATAACATTTTAGATGACGATTTTGTATGAATTATTTAATTTCTAATTATAAATTCTATTTTGTAATTATTATTTGTTTAATTTATTTATTGTTTGATTATTAATTAATAATTAAGTTATATAAAATGTATTAAATCAGTCGGGTTAGATGAAAAATTAGGAATTATGTTAATTAGGAAACTGCAGTTCGCCGTGCGGCGACCGCTTAGAGCAGTCGGTATCGACTGCAAAATGCGGTCCGTCTACGCGCCAGCGTCTATGAAACTTCCTAAGATGCAAAGTTAAAAGCTAGAATGACAGAACTACATTAAAAATTAAATGAAATATAATACAAACATAAAATATACTTACAGGCAGTACGTGTAATTCCTCCAAAAAACGCATAGACACAGAGACCAAGGCTTCTTGAGGCCATTCATGGAACCAGTTGATAGATGTGCAGTTAATCAAAGCTGGGAACTTTCTGGACCTCACTCGCAAAGTAGATCCCACGGGTGAGAAGCAAAGCACCACTTTCAGCTGCTTTCTCACTCTGTCTATGAAGAATTTCCAACAGATTTCTCTCGTGTCGGGGAGGCCGGCACCTTTTACCTAATAATTTTTATTTAATGTAAAATATTTTTATATACATTTGTATAGTTGTTGTTAAGGCATATTTAAACAGCAATAAAATAATTAAATCAATGGCGCTACAATCATTTTAGGTCTGGGCCTCAAAAATTTTATCTGTTATATGATCGTTTGTCAATCTAATAGGCAAGTAGATGATCATGTGCCTGACAAATGTCAAATTTTTGGGTCTAAGGATAGCAGGTTTCCTCACGATGTTTTCCTTCACTGTTCGAGCGAATGTGAATTGCGGACGTAGATAGAACGTTTATTCGTGCACAGCCGGGGATCGAACCTACGATACCTCAGGGATAAGAATCGCACGCACTAAGCCAACACTGCTCTGATAACAGTAAACAGAGCAATGATGTAATACATTTTAGGCAGCATTGTTATTTTTTGTTTACGTCTTAACATGTCTTGTTTCAAAACATACGTAGAAAATCTTTAGAAGTTAACAGATTTTAATTCCTTACCTCATTTCGCACTCCAGCAATTATGTTTTCGATTTCGTCGTCAGGGAACAGGTCTCCTACTTCTCCGGATGCCAACAAATCATTGATGAGTACCAAAAACTGTTCGTTCGCTACTTGAGCATCCGTCATTAAGAACATAATGCCAACGTTTTTCAGACCCGTTTTTATATACAATCCTGATAGTTCATGCTTAAAAATTAATTAAAATGTTTTAAACCAAAAGACATGCAATTTTCATAATATAAACTTCCGTAGAGACTTCACAATTTTATTGTACTATTTTTCTCAAATATAAAACTCTATTTTAATTTCTTGAAAAGTGTTTATGAAAACCATCTTTAAAAAAATACATAAAACGGGTATTTACTTCACCTGTTAGTACATAAAGTTCTTAACACAAACGTTTAGAAATCATTTTAAGATGTTAGAATAACTTTGTTATATTTAATAGACATAACATTTGTTACTAACGAAACACACAAAATAATAATAATAATAATAATCAAAAAAGAAAAATAACAAAAAAATATGGAAAGAAAAAAATGGAATAAGGTACATTTTATGTGTGTAATGTGTGTTGTGGTTGTAACTGGCATTGGCTCAGCATTATGCTGTGGAGCAGACGTGTTCCAAAGCGCTGGTCATTTTGCCAGAGACCATAAAAGTGACTTTGCTCCTCAGCGCAAAAAAAAGAAACATAATGTGATAATAATAATAAAAGTAGAAAAAATTATAATAGTAAAAATTAAAAGTGTAAGTACAGAAGACTTGGAAGATTTGTGTGTAAAAGTAACTGTTCTGTATGTTACTGAAACTCCTATAAGTAATAGATAAATAAATATAGGGTCTTGAAAAACATATAACAATCATTCCATCAAACTAAATAACCAAAACTGTCTTCAATTAAATTTACCTTTAGATCCGAAACACCATATCCCTTTTTCAGCTGTATTTGGAAAACTTCAAGGCTGGCAATAAAAGCGGCTAAACGCGATAAAGACTGTTTCCCTGATCCTCCTACTCCAACTAGTAATGCACTTCCTCTAGGACTCTCTAATATTCGGCTTATTCTACGTAAATTAATATATATAATTAATGTAAAAATCGTATAATATAAAACCGATCAAAATTGTTTTAAACTGCCGAACACTGTTTTAAAGGATTCGCTCAACAAAAAGGAATTTGACACCACCCTACGATATAAAGATAAGTGTAGGAGGAGTGTACACATATTATGTTTAAAAAAATGTATTATCTTCTAGCACTCCATTAATTTAAAATATTTTTTTAACAGCTACAAGTCTCTCACTTTCCTTAGTCACGTATTAAACACTACCATTTCAGAAATTATAAAATATTTTTACTATGATTCAGCCGCCATAACAAGAAAAGCTCAATACGGTATCTCACCTGCAAATATGCATCATAGCATCTTCAAACAAAACGAGATTCATAGCTGCAATAAGGTCATTGTAACTGGACAAAGCTTCTGTTAGTAACTTATTCAACTGAGTCCAAGTTGCTATCGGCATATATTTTGGCTCTCCAATTCCGCCCGCAAAATGACAGTATATATTTGGTCGTTCAAATACTACTCCTTCATCTATATCCTGAAATAGATTATTAAAATTGACTTTTATATTGCTATTTGTAATTTTTACTTAGTCTACTAGCCATGAAAACCTTTAAAATTTATAACTCATGAGGTCATCTGTTTCACTAATGTACTAGGATATTTAAATTGCATCAGAATTGGATTTCTTTAATATTTTGGTTCATATTACTTCTAAGTCTTTGACTGAAGTAGATTAAATGATTCCTAATATACAACTTTTGTTTCAGTAAATTGAATCTTATAAAAATCATGATCCACATAAATGTACAACAAACCTCAAAGTTCTTCTTACATAAATCCACTTGCATTTTAAGAAATGCATCAATATCCTTATCTTCTGTAAGTTTATCTCCATACACCCTGTGTGTTTCGTGTAGCCACAACCTAATTATATCCGAGGGATTCACCAAACATTCATTTGTACTAAAGAGAAATCCCTAAAAATAAATAAAAATGAATAAAAATGAATAATATTATATAATATAAATAAAATTGTAATGTGAAATAAATAAAAATCGCAAAATGTGTTGCTAAGCTCAAAACTGGAATACAGATGGATCAATTCGCGTATTTTTTTTTTAAATTCCTTGAACTGTGGGGAAGATTTTTATGGTGAGAAACATTTGAAGAATATAAAAAAATTGAATTTAATATTAGTACTCAAAATTTTATTCCGGAAAAGTGTCTCATAGTATGATGTAGCTCCTATAAAAGTTGACTCAGTAAAAACTAAAAATACTACTAATAAAAATTGAGATGAAAAGAAGTTCGTTAAGGCAGCTAGCTAATAATATCAAGCATTAATATAACTGTATACGTGGAAAAAGTTACTGGACTAAGTGGAATAACTCTCATCTATGAAATGATCGTAATATTAGACTTAGCCGAAATCTTTGCCGAACGCATTTAAATCTTAGATTGTTAGATTGTACATTCAAATAAAGCGTTTTATCTTCTATTCCTAACTTAACCTTTTAATATTACTGTTACAATATTTCTTAGACTCTATTCAAGGTTGAGTATAATACTTTTATTACCTGAAACACATTGGATAAATCCCTTAGATTGAAAATGTAGTGAAACTTGATGGCGGTAGGCAGAAACACTTGTGATACTTTATTGTGAAGAGCAATAGTGGCGCTGACGACATTCGCTAAAATGAATTAATCATATTTCAAATAACTTAAAAGAAATTATTATTTTAAGGAAAACATGAATATTATTAAACATCATTTTTAAGTAGGAACAAGTCTGCCTTCTGAATTGGCACTTGGTAAGCGAAGAAGGTAAGGGACAAATGGACTAGGTAACAAAGTGTTATCATATTATCTCTTGGGCAGGGGCCCTCTTGTGTCGGGGGCCCGTGGCATTTTGCCTGCTCTGCCACTATTGTTACGCCACTGAGGGAAGGCTACTGAGGCGTACAAGGTAGAATCGTATAGAATAGAGAAGGGCAGAACATGGTGACATTTGGAGGAAGCCTTAGTGGTAATAATGTGTAAAAAAATACCCTAGGCTAAGTACTAGAACAAAGACTTATTTCATTTATAATATTGTATATTATGTGAGAATAAAAAAAACCGTACCTGACAGTTTACCAATCTGGGCACTAATCCTCAACTCAGGGTTAGCCAGGTGCTGACTCAATATAGAATGGTAAATGTTGTTAAGCGATTCAGAATTAGGGAAACTTATAGCAAACACGCAGAAATGCCGCTGAAGCCTCGGGTTGATAGTGAAGCTTCCAGATGTAGGATTCATACACGATACATATTGTGTATTGTGGATATCTTTGAGAGTCAGTTTGGTTCCGGTCATACCAATGGTTATAGTCTAAATGTTGGCGAATGATTGTATGCGGCTGTACTGTTCCATAACCATCAACTTCTGGCATATTCATGTCGTCTATAAAGTATATGAGCGTTTTATTCCCTGGCGGTCCGTAGTTTCGGCCCGCTTTCTTTTCGAGCGGCTTCTCGAGAATTTTCTGGAGCATTTCCGATGTCGTGTAGAAGTTGAAAGGGATTGATTGGATTGCGTAAGTTTCTGGAAGGCTGAGGGAGGAAAACATAATGATTATTTTATTATATAACCATTGTTCTCATATAAAAATTCATTTGTTATGTTATTACTACAATTGGTTAGGTTTAAAAACTACCTTTGCAATTTTTCGTTTACAAGAACAGTTTTTCCACAGCCAGCACCCCCAACTAACATGACTGGATGTTTGTTTTTCATTAGCAAGTCCAAGAAAAATCGAACGCGTATAGTGTCAGCTGTAGGCACCAGTACGGCCTGAAAAGATGACATTAAAAGTATTCTAATAGTTTTAATACAGCGCTGGAAGAGTTCTTGTATGCAGTAAGGCTTGTTGCCCTTATTAATTATTGAAGCCTCGTGGTTGCGTAATATTAAATAAAAAAGTTAATATTAATTTATTTATTTCTAGCCTTCGTATCCGTTCTCAGTAGCAAGACAATTTTATGTGACTAATTAAGAAAAATCAGCGGTCTAACACAATTCTATATAATAGGTTTGATTGTGACATTCATTAATACTTTTCTAATATACAAACTAGTATTATTGTTATTAAAACATTAGCAACATTTACTTGCAACGGGATGTCAGAATCCAGCTCGAACTTTGTAATCTTTTCTGTCCATGGAGTGAATTGTTTTGTATCGTGGTCAATGTAGTAGTCAAATACAGTTCCTCCGGGTGGAAATTTCACAGTTTTGAATTCGTTTACCCACCATTTTGAGAATTCTAAAAAGTAAAAAAATTGTTGAAACTTTCTATTTATCACTAGGAATAGAGATATATTATAAATAGAGGTTTCTAATATTTTACAGTTTCTTAATATTGGTTAGTAACTAATTGATACGGTATAGAAAGGTAATTTTTGAATTAATACATAAATACGTAAACTTTTTGAGTCTCTTAGACATAGACATAGACATAACATTTATTACATACGAAAACACACACACATAAACACACAAAATAACAATACTCAAAGAAAAAATAAAATAAGACATATCAAAAACAATAAAAATTAAAATTAAAAATTCCCTTTTGCCATTCGGTTCGCTTCAAGTGTGCAATGTGTGTGTACTGTGGTTGTAATTGGCCCTGGCTCAGCATTATGCTGAGGAGCAAAAACTTCCTCAGCGCTGGTCATTCTGCCAGAGACCACAGCAGCTAGTTTGCACCTCAGTAGCAAAGAAAAAATTATAATAATAATACTAAGTAGAAAATAACAATAATAATATTAAAGTCTTATTAGCTTGTTGATTCAGCGTTTACTATACTGTGTGTGAGTGAGTTAAGCATGAAAATATTACAGTAATGTCAAAATAATGTTCCTACCAACTCTGTAGTCAACATTGGTATCTTGGAACATCGCGGAACCAAACGCCCAGACACACGCAAAAACGAAGAAAATATCATGCCAGTCTTTTGAACAATCTGCGGGCGTATTCTCGGGAACAAGCAAGCAATCCAGTAAATGGCAAAGCATTTGAATATGTGCCATATCTGCAATAGGTGTTATCTTCTTGAACCGAGTCCTTACAGTTTCTAAGCAAGGTGGAATGTATTTGTCACAGAGTATAACTAAGTTCGATTTTTCCGCTGGTATCTTTCGTGTTTCTATCCAACTGGTAACATAGCTGGAAAAAATAAACTTGGTTTATGCAAGTACTATAAATATACGAAACAATACATTTCATTTAGTGCTTTAATATCATTGAACAAAAATAGTTTTCTGTGAATGAACTAATATTATTTTCAAACATTAAAGTATGTATTGTCCCCGGAACTGCGTGCCAGACACAACGCAACGTAGCGCAGGCAATGAAAAACGGCAGAACAGTCAGTTTTTTGAAAATGCATTACACAAAGAACTTGAGATTCAATATAACTTACGGATTCCATCCCAAATCCTGTGGATTAATGTATAAAATTCCGGCTCGAGATACCGTAGCGGGAGTGGCTGTGCGCAAATTTGATATCTCAAACATTAGACGCATGCTTGGTGTTAACGCTATTCTCTCATTGCTAGCCAGCGTAAGAATCTTGTTATCATCCATCACAGTATTCAACGATTCTATCCACATTGGATCGATGTCTCCATCTAAAACAATCCACTTAGGATTTTCTCCAACAATATTCGCTTGATCTCTCATTATCACTGAAAATAAACCATCTTTCCATTCTCTTGTTGCAGGATTAATAATGCCGAACAGCTCGTCGTTTGTCACAGCCTTAGGATTAAGGTCGGTATAAATTGGTTTCTTTTTGAGATTCTGGTATGTCTTGTATAGAGATTTCCAAACTTGCGTTTTACCAGTTCCGGCATTACCAACTATGAAGACGGAATGACGAACTTCTAGTAGTTCCTCCAATTGCACGACCTTAAGTATAAAGTTATCTTCAGGTTGAAGCAACAAGTCCATGGCAGCTTGTTTGACAGTTCTCTCAAATTCCAAATCTCTTTTTCTCGGTACTTCAAGAGCGGGAAATAGGTCACCAATTAAGCCCATGAAAACAGGCATATCATCTGTGACTATTTTAGGAATATTAAAGTCACGTAACGTTCTCATCAATACCTCTTCTTCTGGTCTACCAGGATCACCTCTCTAAATACGAAAATTATAATAATAAATAGAAGAACCAAAACAGAGTAAAACACAAGAGAAATAATAGAAACAATACCTTCAAAGAACCAGCTACCACTAAAACGGATTTAATCGCTCTTAAACCCCAGTCGTAATGATCTTGTTTAGACAATAGTTCTTTACACAACGTATACAGAGTTATGAATTTCCTTGCTAATATTTTAGCTTCTTGAAAACCTTCGGCGACCAACATGATTTCACAAATCAACTCAAAGTCCGGTACAACCATGGCACACGGTCTAAATAAGGCTTTTAAGTTTTCGGGAAGTTCCGTCCTTCCAGCATAACCTGGATTCATTGTTATGAATATGCCAACCGATGGTACCAATACAATTATTTCTCCCATGAAGTTAAACTTTTCTTTTTTGTCTCTGAAATCAAGTACAAACGTTATGGAAATCTTATACAATACTAGTTTCTACCAGGTGTATGATAGAAAATAGTTTTTTTTGGTAAAACTTTGTTAAGCCACAATGTATGGTAACTAATTTAATCCAACTATGCAGAAAATGCTGAAAAAATAATAAAATGTACCTGATGGCATCTTGAACAGATTTAACCTGGACAGCAACAACTGATAGGACCTCAACTGATATTCTATTAAACTCATCAAAACAACCCCAAGCTCCTGTTTGAGCAAGTCCTTTATAAATATTACCGCATGACTGAAAATATATTGATTGTTATGAATTAAAATATCAAAGTAAAATAATGTATTTGTAGCTAAACTTAGTTCAATGAAAAATAAATCCAGTGGCGCTACAACCTTTTAGGTCTGGGCATCAGATGTATGATCATTTGTAAATCTAATGGGCAAATAGCACAGCCTCCTGTGCCTGACACGCCGTCGACTTTTTAGGTCTTTGGTCTAAGACAAGCCAGTTTCCTCACGATGTTTTCCTTCAGCGTTTGAGCTATATGCGGACATAGACAGAAAGGCCTCACTGAAGTCCATTCAATACACAAGGCCAACACTACTAATGATTAAAACATAAGACAATCCCTTCTTTATCTATACCTATAGAGGCGAGAAATAATCATGAGGTTATTTACCTGATAATCCATTTGTTCGGAACAA